AAGAAAGGTATGAAGGTTAAAAGAAGATTGTTGACTGCTGATGTTTACAAGGACTAGGTCGAGCCTCATCTTCTATCTTATTATATACCATACTAGTCAGCATTCCAGTTACCGGGCCTGGAGAAAGGGAAGGGGGGGGGGGGGGGGTTGATTTGAAGACGCGTAGATTGGTGGAGGGGATCAAGAGACGAAGGGGGCGCAGATCTGTGTCAGCATATGTGAGGGAGATTCCTCAAATAGGCCATAGCCCGGGGAGTGATGAACCAAGGCCTCAATAAGGGGAATGTGCACACATTGCACACAATCAGACATGCACTTACACACAAATAGGCACATAATGCACAAACACTTTATTCAGCGGGAGACAGAGGTATGACAAACCTTAGAGGATGCACGGTGCAGCATGGGAGCTGGGGTTTGAAATTTAACCCAACAGTAAAATTAGAGGGGCCTGAGATGCATACCGAAGCAGTTCTAAATACCCAGGAGTCTTTGCACTCCTCTTTGCTGTCTCTCTCTCTCTCCTGTGCTGTCTTTCTCTACTTTTGATTTCATTACCTTTTCATTTGTTCATTTTTTTTTGGCTTTCTCAACCTCAGCCTATATTTCAAACACACACACACACACACACACACAGGCACAAATTCTGCAGAGGGGGGAAAAAACGTCCCGCCACACAGCGTGCCAAACTGACTCAACACTTCTCACACAATTCATTTGTCACAAGTGATGAAACAACCATTGATCTCACCAGTCATCAATACAGTCGCTCAAACGGAGCCTCAGTCCAAAAGCTTCAAAGCCTTGGCTCCTTTTCGACATTTGGTCCACATTTCTGTAAACAGTTGTGTGTGTGTGTGTGTGTGTGTGTGTGTGTGTGTGTGTGTGTGTGTGTGTGTGTGTGTGTGTGTGTGTGTGTGTGTGTGTGTGTGTGTGTGTGTGTGTGTGTGTGTGTGTGTGTGTGTGTGTGCATTGAAGGATTCAAACCGCTCAATTTTCTTTGGATACTGAGCCACATAAGCACCTGCAGAACCCAAGGTGGACATAAACAGGTGTTGCTTTATATTCAGACAGAGGCAGACTGGACTCAAGTAGGGTGGAGGCAGACGGTCCGACTAGTTCTCTTTGAAAGGTCAGTCGTGACTTTGCATACTGTTGTTTATCTAGACTTTCAAATTGTTAATCAACACGATGACTTCTAAAATTTGGCCTGAAAAAGTATCTGTCCCTCTTATGTGTGCTTCTGCTCAGTCAGTGGGCAACTGAAGCCAATGATTGGCAGTGACAAGTCATAATTCAAGCTGCTACAAGAATCATTTACAGTAAAAAAATGGATCATGTGTAATGTTTAAGGGTTCATTTATTGTGACAAACAGAGAATTGTTACCTCACTAAGCAAGTGCCCTGAGGTTTACAAAGCGTTTTATCTTTGAGCGTAGGGTCAAAAAGGTCTGAACTGTATCTGCATTCATAGTGTATATCCTAATAGGTTGTGGTTCTGGCCATGCATTGTGGAAGATGTCAAAACTTGAACTAATTAACCTGATAAAAATGTATATTGTTGCAAAATAAGGATGACTCCACCAGATGGAGGGTGGTGGTCGCAGAAAATATTTGCCCTCCTTTAGCACTGAAAAGACGTGTCTTTGTTTGTGCTTTAATGTTGTAAACATAGAGGTGGAAGGGAAAAATCGATACAGCATAGTATCCTGATATTTTTTGTTTTTATATTATATTGACTCATGGCGGCCAAGTATGGATATTTTTATGATATTAATTAACAGCAAATATGCTTTTAAATTTTTGAATTGCTGAAGGGGTTGCACAATTTCTTTTCATCCAGTTGTGCTGTTTAAAATGACTGCAGTTGTAAAGTCGTACATACATGTTTGTGTTCAGTTTAGTTTGATGAAACTGAAATCAAAACATTCAGATTGTGAGCTGCATGCAGCCTTTCACAGGGTTTAACTTTGATCACAGTGTTGGTCAGACTGTGGGCTTGACTCCCATTGGATAGAAATAAAAAAAAGACTGAAGTGAGATGAATAGACTGAGAATGTTTTCTTATTTAACAAAAAAGTTCTTGATTTATTTTTTTGGGACATAATATGCAGTTAAAAAAGTTAAACCAGAACATATTGCAGTTCTCAGCATATCACAAAATGTTTAAAATCGCAACAATATCGTATCGTAGGGCCTCTGGTGATTCCTAACTCTAGTAATACAGGAGTATATTGTTTGAAAGACGCAAATCCAAACATCATTTTTTTTCAGGCTGATACTGTCTGAGTGTTTTAAGTAATGACATTTTCATATTTAAACCGGTTATTGAACCAAATGAAGCAGCAGCGCGGCCGCTTCAGAGGCCTCGCCTAAATTGGAATGAAACAAATTTTCGATGTGAAACAGCTTTGTTCAGTGTTTCTAAGTAGTTATTAGATCGGAGCAGTATGTTCCACTGAGGTTTGTGTCTTGTGATAATGAAGAGTCACTTTTTGTAAATTGTTCAGCCTGCTACACTGTTCCTCTTCCGTTTCTCTTCGCACTATCAGGGAGCAAAAAAAAAAGCAAAAATCTGAGTTTTCTCGATTCCCGACTTGTTTCTCAACTTTTCCCAGCCCTTCTGTGTTTTGAATAAAGGCGTATACATATATCAATTTACAGATGAAAGGGGGAAAAAAATCATGCAACCCCTTTCATCCCTGCGCCTCACTTGCCCTCGTTTTCTCCCCTCTCATTGTGCGCTGCTCTCGTCCCGGCTGCACCATCACACTCGCATCATTCTCTGCCTGTCACCTCCCAGCCACCAGACATCCTGCCTGTGCACAGTCTGCATCGCTTCCTGTGTCTGCCCGTGACTTTCAGCCACGTCTACCAAAAGGAACTGTTAAGATCCTTTAGGATATGTCACTGGCGTGCTGTATGCATTCGTGACGCATTCAAGGCCTCCTTTCACTCGGCTGCACATTTCACACATTTCAGAAATAGAAGCATGTTCGTCCTTGTGGCAGCATGTGTGGCAAGTGGATGTCTGGGTGGTGTGATGGAACAGGAATGCTTTTATGTCTGTTTTACAGTTAAGACCATCAAGCTAAAATATACTGTACCTGTTTTAGCTAGAAGAGTGATAGTCCTATATCATGGGTTTGTAAATTCATGGCTGAAAGCTAAGAATTGTCCGCCATAAAAATGTCTTAAATGCGGATTATTTGACTGCAGCTGGTAAGTTCTGTCGGTAAACAGAGCCTGAGTGTGTCCTCTGTCTTTGGGTGATGCAGAAGCTTATTTCCAGAGAGGAAACAGTCCATCTCACCCGCCAGCATATGGCTCCTCATGCATTTTAATATCACACTGTCCCAGCCCTGTCAAAAACAGGGCTGCACAGAGTCCAAGGACAGAGAAGTATAGTCAGAAATAGAGACATCTGTCCGTTGGGGTCATACTGGCAGAAAGACAGAGCGAGAGAGGGAGGGAGGGAGGGAGGGAGAGAGAGGAGGAGGATGTGGAGGGGGGGGGGGATGACGGGATGCAGCGTCAATAAAGAAGGATGGAAAAAAACAGGGAGCATTGATTGAAAGAGAGAAGGGATGGTGAATGGAAGAGGAAGATGGATGAGTGGGGTTAAGCAGGGCGCAAGGCACAGCTGTCAATACTTACAGTGATACCCGGACAGCACATCTGGATTTCTGCATTTCATGTAGCACTGTCATGTATTGTGTAAGTGTTCCTTTCATTAACAGTTCAGCAAAGCAACTTAACCACTAGCTTCAAATGATGAATGCCATACTGTTGCAAAAGTGACGGCATCTTGTGGTTGCAGTGCATGTATGCCCTTCTATGGCTCTTCAAATGTGTGTGTGTGTGTGTGTGTGTGTGTGTGTGTGTGTGTGTGTGTGTGTGTGTGTGTGTGTGTGTGTGTGTGTGTGTGTGTGTGTGTGTGTGTGTGTGTGTGTGTGTGTGTGTTTTGTGTGCACATGTGTACATGTGTACATGTTGCATATCTTTCGTTGGAGTTTTCAAGGGATTTGTTAAGCAGGTCAGCGCCCCGGCCTCTATCTGTCCAGCCATGCTACGCTCCCATAATACCTCTCAGTGCTAATACTGCGCTCACATTGATTCCAAAACGTATTACTCTTCTGCCTTTGGGTTTTTTTCAGCATCAGCACAATATCGTGGAGGTAGATGCCAAGTTTTTTTATGCTACTGTTGGACCAGTTGCACTTTTTAATTCTATTTTAGTGTTTCCAAGTCATTTGAAGGATCGTGGTATTTTTATTTAATTTTATTTGATGCATTTGTTTTTCATTTATTAATGTTTTAATTGGCTTTTTGTAACCTCCACCTTTTTTTTTTTGCACACGGCATAGCAATCAAACCTTAGCCTTCACTACACCACCTACTGTTTTACCTTGATATGATATAATAGTACCATATGTATCCACGTGTGTGTGTGTGTTTGTTTGTTTGTTTGTTTGTGTGTACGTGTGCGCGTGCATGTGTACCCTCTGGGCACTGCTCCCGTGTGGTTCAGCAGCAGTGCAGTGCTCCAGACTGGATTAAGGTCTTGCTTGGATGTGGCTGCGCTCCATTTGGAAAATCAGGATTTGGATTTGAGATAGATCACAAGGGGAGGTGTTATGTCATCCCCACGAGAGGGACAGGCTGGATGATGCAGCTCAAAGATGAGGAGGAAGAGGCAGGGATGGGGGAGTCAAAGGGAGGTGTTGGTAGAGTGTGCAACCCATGTACAGACAGAGGCTGCAGTCCTTGTTGCACTGGTTGCAGGTACGACTTTCTATCCTGATGCTGTTTGGTGCATTTCATCCCCAAAACTCTGTCTCTATGTTTCCTGTCTCTCGGTAGCTGTCCTATAATAAAGGCCAAAAAGGCCCAATAATCATCTTTAAAAAGAGAATAGATGATGACACTTGCTTCGTTGGGTCTTGGAGTCGGTGATGAAATTGAAATATGTCTCTTGTCTCTGTGTGGTTTTCTTCCAGAACGGCCCATGCCAGGACAAAAAGCGAGGCTGCAGAGCAGGCTGCCATCTCTGCTGTGCATGACTCTGAAATTGCCAGGGCGGTTGCAAGGGAGCTTTCTCCAAACTTTTACCAACCAGGTAACCATTTACAACACACATAAATGATATTAAAGCATGTTCCTCGAGGCAGAGTGTGGACATCAAACAGATTAAGCAGGTAAAGTGTCCCGCAGAGTCTCTTTAAATAACCCCTCCCCGCCCCCCTCTGAATTAGTTACGTTTGGACTGCTGGTGCACTATGGGGTCAGGAAGGTCGCATGTGTTCACTGCACTTGAAGTAATGTCATATTTTGAATATTTCAAAGGGACTCAGTTTGCATACAAATTTGGATTGGAACTCACAGGAGCAGAGTCTTAAAGCAAGATTTTAAGATATTTTGGATGCGGTGGACCAAGAAATGAAGTCCCTGCTAAGGCTGTTAAGGAGTCCTGAAGGAGGGTTTTAATCAGAAATAGCAAAACTACACACATTCTCTACTCAAGTAAGAGTACAGAATCAACTCATTAACTTCTTTACTGTGAAAAAGTACATCCTTTGAGTAGTACTCAAATGTAAGCAAAAGCATAAAAAGAAAATATATGTGTAAATAAAGTTGAATATGGATTATCTGCTGCTCATATCTGCTCTCACATGGTTTCAAAATGTTTGATTTCCTTTATGCTTTAAGCTCTCCTGTTATGCAATGGATACCCCAGATGCGTCTTTCCCTGTGTGAAGTCTACTCACTCTTTATGCACAGTAAAGTAGAGCAACGGTTGTCGCGCGATTACGCCTTTTGATTGGACTACACTAAAGAATCGTCTTTTTGACGGTAGTATGTCAGATTTTGTTTAGGTTGGTGGCTTTATGCCCTCTTTCAGCTAGTTGCTACTGGACCTTCTAGTTTCATACATTACAAACAGCAAACTGTTCTCCTTCCATCCATGTACCTCAATATGTGTAACACCATTTTAAAGAAAGCACAGCATTGGACTGTTGAGCATTCACAGATCGACTATGCCAGTTTGATTCCGATTTGACTTGATGCAATAGTCCAACTTCTAGAAATTGTACTTCATATGATTTCAGTTGGACCAACTTGAAAGGATTAAAAAGCACAGATATTTCTGTTTGGACCCATATTTCGCAAAATAAAAACTTAATTAAGGTACATATACCTTTAAACTCAATTTAAGTACTGTTACAAAGTCTTAGTTCCCGGCTCATGGAGTGCACACCCACTAGAGGACTAAGTGTGTACATTTAATGCTTGTACCTACACTGCAAGCTACATGAGAATTTTACATTTGTTGTAATGGACAATTTAGCAAGCTATCACAAGCAAACCGTTGCTGTTTGGCACCTGCCTGTCCAACAGAAAATAGACCAACTCTGTTCACTGGAAAAGGCCAACACAAGGTTCACCCTCGTTTTGGAACGAGCTTAATCCGCTTGGCGTTTCGCCTCACTATGATTATATTTTCTTTTATTTGCTGCTATTTTCCAAGTCCATCATATCCGTTGCTTTGAATCACATCCAACCGCTGAATCCACTCCTAAACTCACCTGCGCGCTGTCATTGGCTGGGGGAAACACAACAGCTCCCCACCTGAGTTTACTCAACAGTGCTTTTCTGATATCCCAGCTTACCTCCATTGTTTCTGTTAATGCTACACAGCCATCAAGCGAAATGTCTTTCCATTCATGTGTTCAGAAACTGAGTTAGTGGAAGAAGTTTGGTATGAAAAATGATGTTTGCACGTCTTAAAGATGTTTACACCGAGTCACTAATGAGCTTGTTTTAGGTGCACAAAAGCTTCGGGTTTGGCTTTCCAGGACCGTAATCGAAGACTTAAAGTACTGAGGATGATTTCCAACACTACAAAGGAGGACTGTGTTTGCGCTCAGACAAAGCAGAGCCAGTTTGAAACTGGGTACAGGATTCTGGATGGAAGCCTTGTCTGTGCTCTCAAAGGCATTTTTTAGCTGCTCGGAAAAACTTGCTAAAATTTGCAGCCGTAAACTCTGCCAGAAAAAGTGTGAAAGCACATTTTTCTGTGCTTTTTGTGGTGTTTTTCAGACTATATTTGACCTGTGCTTTGATGGTACATGTCAAAGAAATGCCTTATAGGTACAAGGTTGATGGTCAAGGAAATTTACCAGCTCTAATACCAAGGAGTTCTCATCTTTCCTTTGCCCCAAGGTTTAACGAGCTAACTGCCATACTATACACAGGCTCACACAGCGTAGGGTGTCAACTCGACTCTGTTTAGTTCATTTTACAAGGTAAGCTGAGTTTTACGAGTTTTAAGACTACACAAATAGGGATGGGCACAAGTTGTTTTTTTGTCAAGGAGCTTGTGATGCAAGAAGGGGCAGAGGTGGAACAAGAGGGCAACAACTGGAAATGCTTAAAAAAAAATCATCTTTAATGGAGCGTTACCTCAGAGAACATGAATCTACTGTCCCCCTTTTGTCAAAATATTTACATTTGATCCAGTTGAGAAAATTAATTTCGAAGAATTGTTCCATTTAAGGCTTTGTGAACTTGCCTCACCTCTTCCACTGTGTATAATATATTTAGTCCTATGAGCTAGCCGACCTTGGGCCCTTGCCAAAAGCCGCTACAAAATAGTGGATGACAAATAGATTGACAATGGAACCCATTCAAGCATGCCCCTCCACTAAGCCTTAGAAACGGTCAACCCGGGCCAGAGACATCCCGCCGCTTGTTTGTGTTGTGGAAAACAGTGGTCATGCTTGGCAGAACTGGGGGATCTCCGGGGTTCACAAGTCTGTGCAGAGAGAGCATCCTTGCCTTTTAAGTCAGATTATGAATGAGAAAGTGGCTGATGTCATGCTAATGTGCAGCTCCGGGCGACATCTGAGCCGTAAGCAAGTCTGGTAAGCCAAGCTGAGAGCCAGACAGGCACCTGCATAGGTTCCAAAACCCATTTCCCATATGTCAATTTTATTTTTACCGTTTGAAATTCTCAGTCTTGGTGCAGTTTTTGGGGAATCATGAATGGCCTACTTTTACTTTTCTTGCTGGTTCACAGTTTGTCCTTCAGGTTATATTATGTTTGATGATAAACACAGTCCTCTATTTGCAGCTTCATCACAAAATAAATAAAAATGTGTCGTGTTAAATAAAATAAAATGCTTATATTTTATTTCCCTATCATCTTGTTTCTCCCAGTAATAAAGTAGGAAAACACATACTCAATCTGAAAGCCCATCATTCAAGGTACATGTGTGACTTTCCTTTGCTAATTAAATGTCTTCCTCTGTGGTGGAAATATTCTCACTTACCCCATCCCTCAGCTTCTCATAAGTCCCCTAGGGTAACAACTAGGGGTCTAAACCCCTTGTTGTTTGTAATTGGCATTTCAGACTCATAGCAGGTTATCACCCAGGTTGGGAGTGTGCACTTCAAAAGGAGAGAGAGGGTCACAGAGAACAGGACCCTGACCTTTATGATTGGTTCACATACAGCACCCGGGAGGGGGGAGCAGCAAGGGTTAGCAAGGCGGGGCCTGCGTTGTGACGTTAATTGGGTTATATTTGGTGCTCGCTGGAGTCTAATGGAGACATAGCTGAAATCCTTATACACTGAGAGGAACCCGGCCCCGCGCTCGCCCTCTCAAGGGCTGACGCAGAGCAGCTGTCCCTTCCTTCAGCCGCTCACCGTGGGGGAGGGGTTCGTGTCAGGGGTGAATTGGGATCCCGCTCCGCCCTGTTTGACCTATTCAAGGTACACTTGACCAGGTGGAACCATAAAAGCCAGGACTTGTCAGTGCTGAACGCCAGACGTGAGCAGGTGCTGCTTTAAAATTCATGGCAGCAGGTGTTGTAGAGTAAGTTTCAAGACAGTAGATCAGCTGAAGTTTAAAGTCATGCAGCAACTTCATTGGACTTCCAAGGATACAGAATGTAAATTATTTTAAAAGAGGAACTGATCTGACCCTTTCCAAAACAACATTTAATTAAAAAGTTTATTCCCCATTTATGGAAATGATATTCATCAAGGTAGACTGGTAAAATCACTTTGTCTTTTCCCAAATATATAAATGCATTTAGATCCATAACACGTAAGTGGTGTTGTTAAAGGACCTGTTAAAGTCTGTATTTCCTCATTGTGTCTTCCAGTCTGCTTTTCTCCATCAATCTAATGTCAGTTTATGTAAGAGTGAAAGCCCTTCTGTGTTCTCTTTCATGCTGCCACCTGATAGAAAAGAACAGCAACACAGTGATTAGACCCAACAGATGATGCGGTTGACTTCGATTGCATGTGTTTTGACAGTGTAAATGTAAGCCTGTACATATGTATGCGTAACAGTAGTACAAGTAAGCTGGCCAAACAATGACAGCTCCTCTAGTCCATCTGTCTGCATGAGTAGGAGGATGAAAGAGAAGTTACAACCCACGGACGTGACTAATACGTACGAAATACAACCAGGGAAAATGCAAATGCCATTCAATGCCAAACATTTTTTAAGCTTTGACATATATACAAAACATTCAAGTTAATCGATGATTAACACATGAAGCCTGAGTGAAATCACCCCTCTGTTACTGCAGGGGGCTTTGGAAGGCCGTAGAAATGCTGTCTCTACCTAACTTTCAGTCAGCCTAACAACCGGCTAAAGGCTGGAGCTGAGGTGGGTTTTAAGCCTTTTTACAAACATCACACCCCCGTCAATCAGGTCACACACATGGCCGTGACCGGAAGGTCAGGGGTTCAATCCCCAGATTCTGCGGCATGTGTCCTTGGGAAAAACGGTTAACCCCAAGTTGCTCCCTGCTTCGGTGGTGGCGTGTGAATGTGTATGAATGGATTTGATATGACTGATGTACACTATACAAAGCAGCCCCTGTGAATGAGTGTGAATGGGTAGGTGTGACCTGTGGTGTAAAAGTGCTTTGAGTAGTCAGATGACTAGAAAAGTGCTTTACAAGCTCAAATCCATTTACCATTACTATTTACAAGCACCTAACTATCCATAAATCGTCTCCTTCATAAATCAAAACGGATGAGTTGTAAAAAAAAAAAGAAGAAAATTCACCGTCATTGAACAGTGCGTGCCGATGAAGACAATACCTCATCAGACTCATCACTGAGCTTGTATAAAGCTCATCAGACCAAAATCTGTTTGTTTTTTGGTACCAGGCTGTAAACATTTTTTTAAAAACTGGCACATTTTTGAATGGCGTTTGTATGTGATTTCCGGGTCGCTTGCAGCCAGCCTCTAGTGGACACCTGAGGAACTGCAGTTCTTTGCACTTCCCCCATTGGCTTCATTTTTCAAAACTGGCTTTATGGTGTTTTTATATTTATAAAGTAACATCTCAAAAGTATTAATTCATCTTTTACAATGACACATGAATTGTATTTTCTGCACTATGTTCACATTCTAGAAAAATGACAGTCGTCATTAACACTGTCTTTATCCCTAGTTGTTAAATATATTTCATAAATAGATCGAGGAAACAGAGACTGTTAGCTGCTTCTCTCTCTCCGGCTACATTCTCCCTGAATCCTGAAGGAAATATAAATTACCCAACAAATATCAGTAACTATCTCATTTAGCTATTGTTTCTGTTTCCCACTACCTGAATGAGGATGTGAATGGTATTTAGGGCTGCTAAGACGTTTTTTTTTTTTTTATCTTGTTTTATTTGCGTTCATTATCAGTTTGCATACTTCTACAAAGTGGCCCATCTCATGGCAGCTGAAATGTTTTAATCACACGCTCACACACTGAGGTTTTATCATTTAAGTGTCCCACCATAACTGAGAGGAATATGAATTAAATGATGTTTTAAAGTACTCTACTCCCCCAGAGAAAGAGAGACACACAGCGGGAGTATAAATGTTCTTATGGACAGCACTTATGTGCGAATCAGACTTGGGCAGGAAGTTCCTTTCCGGGCAAGACGAGCAAGTGCTGGGAAAAGATCTTTGTTTATCCTCCACTATGTTGAAATGTTTTGCCTCTGCTGATGGGCAACTCATGTCCAGTTAAGATGAATACTTTCTCCCTTGATAGCTTCTTACTCTGTTGACACTCACCAAAAAGTTCTGCACTAAGCCAATAGTCCCATGTGCAACTGCTGTGTGCCGGGCCATGGAGATTTTACACAAATGTGTTACTCTGACACGTTGTTAAAAAAATGGTGTATATAGTGCAAAATAAGCTGCGTTTAATTTAGGTTTATATAATGTCAAAATATAATGAATGCTACACGAGATGCTTAAGTTTGGAAATTTGGCGTGAAATAATAAAAGCATTCTCGATACCAGAGTCGAGCTGCTGTCCTCCTGTGATTCACCACTGTACTCGCAATGACTCACTATTGCAACAGATGTGTTACCAGCACATTCTGTACTTAGAGCTCCCCTCGTGCTACTGGTGTTTATCTCATATTAAGGTCGGCAGGGGTGAGGCCGGGTCTTAAACAGCCGATCTGTTTTGTTTTGTTTCTGTTTCAAGTGTAAGATGTGCTCGTTGGTCCGGTGCGTGTGCTCTGCTAAGAGATCACTGGAGCTGAAGATGTGCTGTTGATTAACATGAGCAGAAGTGTGACCAGAGCTTAACCAAAGGCTTGCATTCTTATGTCCTCAAGGAGACAATGATGAAGATGGGGAAAATGAAATACGTAAATAATAAGTGATTTTCTTTAAGGAACTCAATTATAATGGGTACTTAAATGTAAGAGACAAACAGAAACCATGCTGTGATAAATGTTTGTGTGCTTTATTTTGGTTTCTGGCTGAGTATTTTTGTCTTGGTCATCACTAATACCATGGTCTGCTTTTATGACTATGGGGGGGGGGAGTGGTGGAGAGACATTGATCATCTGGGCTCTGTCTGCAGCCCAGATGATCAATGTTCAGATGAAAGAAACACCACAGCACGCAGCAATTTGGGTAATTGAGTCCCCAGTACATGTTCCAGTTGACCTAGCAGAATTCCCTGGTAGAGTACATCCAATATATCTCCACTCACTCATCACAGCCACATGCTGTAGTACTTACAAATCAACAACGTTTAAAAAACGATTAATGAATACTCCATATCGTCTCATTGTGTTTTGAAGAGTCACGGTTGTCATTTTTCATGACTGCTGATGTAGCACTTCTATCTGAGTGTGAGACTTGGGGTCATTTTAGCGCCGTGAACCATTCAGAAAATGCCTGGAACCCCCCTCGCAGGAATCTGACTCCAAACAGCGTGAAACTGCTCGGGGGCCCCCGCCCAGGCAGGCCTCACTCTTATTGAGTTATGGTGTGAAATTAAGCTCGGTAGATACATTAAGCCCCGCAGATGTTCTGATGTCCCCCCCCCGTCTCTTTGTAGTGGGTCTTATTAGTTGTGGAGGTTATGAAACAAATTAGGAATGACATGCAGCCAAAAAATACTTTGGGCTTATGCGTACTGAGGCCCAAAAGACTCTGTGATGAGGCTGTTTACACTGATGTGGGATGGGATACACTTGTTCCCTTCTGGATATTAAGGTTTGCACAGCCGCCCGTCAATTCCAAATCAACTCGCATTCCTTTTTAATTGATTTGTAGTGCACAAATGTGAAAGGTGGCATCTCTTGTAGATCCCTTTGATTGATCTCTGAGATTAAGAGATCTTTTTTCCAACCCAATAACCCAGTCAATAATGAATGCACCAACAAGAGCACATCAGAATCACATTATCTGACACTGAATGAGTACCTTCTACTTACCAGGGGGTGAAAAGGAGATGCAAAATAATTGTAAAATAAACTCTGTAATCCGCCTCTCGTGTGCTTCTTTTAACACTTACATGTCAAGTATACAGTCTATATCATTTCTGTATTTCTGTCTCTCTGTTTGAAATTGGTTACACGGGGTGCGGAGGATCCTTCAGTGCTAATGCCATCTGATGTACTTCACACAAAGCAGCATTGTCCCTGTGTTAGTCACACTGACGCTGCCTAGTTTAGATAAAGAGACAAAAAAAAGCCAGGCAAACAACAAAGAGTCTGATGTCTCTAATACATATTAATTCAGCCCAGAACAAAAGGACAGATAAAGTATCATTTTTCACACATGCAGGAAGACATTTACATTCAGATTCAGCGTCTTCTGTCCACACATTAGAGGACATAATGTCCATCATGGAAATTCAAAAGATATGGAGTGCACATTTATCCTAGACGTAGTAGTATCAACATATTTGTGTTAAATAATCAAGGAGTGCTGTCCATAAACTCCTGATTGAGTGCAGCTACAGTAAGAGCCTCCCGAGACATAAAGGGAAGGCATAATTGCACCTCAAGGTCGACTCTCTTTATCTGTGAAAGTGTTTGATTGGATGCTCAGAATTGATGTGACAAGGGCCTTTCCAGGAAAACAACATACTGATAAAAGAGAATTACTGATGATGAAGGAGAGTCTGCAGAGGAGGCTCGCTTTGTCAAAGGGTGTCTGTGACCCTGCATTAATCGGTCCATTTCCCTGTCTCCCTCTTCGCAGGATTATTGAATATATAATGTTGATTCATGAATATTTTAATTGAGACTTCAACTCTGCTTAGGGCCAGCTCTAATCTATATCTAGCGAACAGCGAATCCTTTCCTTGCGGTACTCACCTCAGCCTGCTCGAGCCCCAAACTGATCTGCTGCTTATAAAAAATACTTGGTTTTACAGGTGCAAGTTTTGTGGACAAAATAAATGGGTTTACTGAGCCTGGAACAGTGTATGTCTTTTCTCTTTCTTAGAAAATCGCAGTCTAAATAAAATTGAGGGAGCTACTTCTCTTTTTATTCATCTCTGAACGTCACTTTCATCTTTGTAAATGACGAGCCTTGAAAGTCCATCAGAGCAAGAAGGCTTCTCTCGTAAAGCAATCAAGCTGGCATCCTGCAGTTAAGAAGGATGGTTTGCAAATTAAAAGTGCTGTGGCGCCCTAATCTGGCTTTTTGGACAGTAGCTGGAATCAAGAAATGTCCGAATAGCATCGCTGTTGTTTCAGGATTAGGTCGGGTCTCCTGCGACATTGTTGAACTATGCTTGAACCTTGAAGGGGCATTTGCATTTTTGTCAGCCTGTATGTTTTACTCCCGTACATGTGAGCTGCACAGCTGTTAACTCTTGTTTGTGACTCTCTCATGAGACCTTATTTCATTACATTCAAGTCAAAACAGTTATTCCCTGGACAGGCTGAGAGTAATTGAGTGATTCATTTGAAACACTTTTTTTTTTTTCTCTATCACATTCAATAACCTTCATGGAAATGGAAGCTTTCATTTGTGTAAAAATGCTACTCGATTTGCTCCTCATTAAATGACTTTTACAATTGCAAATTCTGTCAACTATGCCATGCTTGACTTCACAACAGCGCTGACTTTATGGGCAGGAGACAGCCAATTACACGTCACATTAAAGTTTTTTTAAGGGGGCAATGAAACCGACTGAAATTACGACTGATGCCTCATTATGCGCTACAAAAGCAAACAAAGGCCACCAGCATTTAGAATGACTATTTCTATGTCGCTATTTTGAATGCCTGCAAACACCGCTGCGGGGTAGGTGTCAGACAAAGTGGTGCAGATGTACAGGTTTAGGTGTGTATTTGTAGAATATAATAATGTCGATTGGTAATCTGTGTCACCTCTCTCCCCTCTGCAGGACCTGACTACGTTAAACAACAGTCGAAGGAGCCCGTGGTGGAGATTAAAGAGGTCCCTGTTGAAAAGAAGGAAAAGTCCCCAAAAGATTCTCCCCACTTTTACCGCCAAGGTACCACTCCTCCTCGATCCCCCGCAACCAGTCCTGTAGCAACGTCTCCCCCCTCACCTCACTCCAGCAAGAAGAAAAGTCAACTCGCCAACAGCACCAGCCGCAAAACCAGCAAAGAGGAGAAACCATCCCGCAAGTTAAGCAAAGAAGAGAAGTCGAGTCATAAACCCAGCAAGGACGAGCGGTCTAGTAGAAAGCTGAGTAAAGAGGAGAGGCCGACTGTATCTGACGGCCCTAAAGCTTCTCATGGGCACCTTGAGGCTCCAGCGAAGCCTGCGAAGACTCAGCAGTCTCCCGCAGCGACCGCTCCTCCTCCACAGCCTCCTCCACAGCCTCCTGCTGTTCCAGTCAACGGCGAGCTCCACACCGAGTACCACAGTTACTATGTCAAGCCCCCCACAAGGGTCCCTCCCCCTCCGGACCCTGAGGACGATATAGAGGAAGAGCCTAGTGCTCTGGCCCTGGCGCGCATGCCCCCACAGCCCCCTAAGTCCTATAGTACCCCTACCCCTAAAGCAGCCTCCATACGGGAGAGCAAGAGCGAACCTAAACTCAGGAAGCAGGATTCCCTAAAGCCAAAGAGCCTCGCAGACGCAAAGAAAGCCAGTATGGAGATTGCAGACAGTATGGAAGAAACAGTAAGTGTCAGTGTTTAGGATACAAAAGGATGGGTCGTTTTTGAAGGAATAGCTTGATTTTTTTGGGAAATGAGGTAGATTTAAAGCTGGGACCGTTTAGCTTAGCAAAAAGACCTGAAGCAGAGGAAAAACAGCTAGCCCTAACAGAGTCTGAAGATTAAAAGCAAATATCTACATTTAAGGAGGTGCAGGAAGTCCCAGTTGCAAGTGGAATGTAGTGTCTTGGGTAGTCAAAACTATAAAATTGGATTAGGGCAGGGGTCTCCAACCTTTCTTAATCTGAGAGCTACTTTGAAAAAATGAAAGTGGCCAAGAGCTACTTGCATTAAATCACTTGCATTTATTGACATAGCACACATCAGCTGAGTTAAGCTACTGTTTGTACACATACATGTTAAATTGCAATAAGCCAATGCTTATCAATAATCTTAAATTCACATCAAGGGTCCAAGACAAAAAACATGAATATTTGGCATTTCTTATTGTGCCACAAAGTAAGCTATGTTGCTGAAAATTCACATCAATGTCCTAGAAAACATTACTACTCCACACTTTTTACAGTTTTTATAGGCCGAATATATGAACAGTGGGAGGAGGTGCATTTACTGGCGTCAGATTTATTATTTTTGTTTTGAACACAGTCAGTCAACCTATAGGCGAGCTACTTAAAACCTGCCGTCGAGCTACCGGTAGCTACCTGTTTGAGACCCCTGGATTAGGGTGACCATATGGCTAAGATTTTACCGTGACCACTTTAACACTTCAAATGACCCGGTTTTGAACAGTCCCTGTCCCGGTGTTAGCCAATCAAAAGAGTACACCATGCTTGCATCACTGATTTGTCTGTATATATGTCAGTCATGTTGTCGCAAAGGCTGTGGCTGTTTTAACAAATAGAAAAAACATCACTATTGCAGCACGAGTCAAAGTTCAATATGTTTGCGGCTGTTGCATAGCTAGCCCAGCTAATCATACATATTAACAGGATCTGCTGGCTAACGACAGGTAGGCTCACTCTCATGCCGAAAAGGAAGTCAGTGTTTTTTCGAAAAGAGCTTCAGGAGAGTTGCGGCTTCCTGCAAGTGTCCCGATTTCAGTCGCACAAGGTGAAATTGCCGACCTACAAAGCCATATTCAAACGAGCAAACACAAACGACGGGTACAGGCTGGAGGCAATGCAGCTGACAACCAATTTAAACGGGCTGCTCAGGAGGGCACCTTTACCTAACCTTCTTGTGTTATTAGTGCAGGTCACTGATCCGTGGATCAATACATGGGCGGTAAAATTAAAGTGTCTCGATTTGAAAATACGGATTGGATGGATTTGGTAACCTTTTGGGAGATTCAGTAAAGCTGTTTGCCTCTGTTTCAAGTCTTTGTACTAATAAGCGAACCAGCTGCTGGGTGTAGTTTTATATCCACCATACAGAATGATAATGGACCAGCCATCTATCTTTGGCTCAAAAGAGAACATCCATATCCCTAAATGTCGAGCTATTTAGCAGCACAAATCATTAAATTGTTGTTTGTTCATCATGATATGATATTTGATTATTATCATTATGTCATCCTTTTGCAGGGTCCTAACTCAATCCTGGTTGCAATGGTAATGCTGTTGAATATTGGCCTTGCAATTATATTTGTCCATTTTCTGACATGATGATGCTGTTTCTCAGGTGAGTGGATTTCATTTGGATATTTTAATGATAAAGAAAACAGAATCAAGGCGAGATGACCTGGTGTATTTCTGAAGATGAATCTGCCTCATGTTTTTTTTTGCGTTTGCTTTTGTGCAAATAGTCTGTCCAGCCAATTAAATCCCACCAAACGTGTTGTATGTTGCAGTGAAACCATGGCAACAAGTACAGTTGCATCACCGGCCTTGAAAATGAAAATGGCGCCAGTGGACACGGGGGTGGCCGTACGTAGGTGTTGAGGAATCAACATGACACCGAAGAGAAGAGAATCTAGGAGGGAGGCAACACTACCACCAACCTGTCATGGGCCTTCTTTAGGGGCCAGCCCCGTGAATTAGCACTCCCTTGGTTATTCTAAAAGCTGGAGGGGAAATGTTGTGTCTAGTGAGATAAAAAAAAAAAAAAAAAAAAGTTTAAAAATGCAACCAAACACACACACACAGGCTGAAATACAGAAGTTATTGAAACCCACACGTATGCTGATCCAAGCACTGGTCTCTGTAGCCCACTCCCACTGCCTTGGCAGGGAGAACGGTGGGCTGACGGACTTTGTTGGACGAGTGTGGAGATGCACTTTTAGATGACGGGAGCAAACAGCTGCCTTTCTATTTTGCCATCTGACGTTTTGATGGGGAGATGTGAGCCTGACGGCACAGTGTGGGAGGAGGGGGGAAGCGGGTGGCACAGTCACAGCGGGAGCGTGCGTTTTCTTTGGGGGTGGGGGGGCGGGGGGGTTCACACCACTCTTGCAGCAGGAAACTGGGCACGACCGTTGCCAGCAGTCAGTGCTAGCACGGTCACTTTCCAGTCTTACTCTGTTTTACCCGATCATCACTGCAGCTTTGTCGAGCTCTGTCCATTGTAAACCCAGGATACATCGCTTTGACACACTCCCTGTGCATGGTACAGTTTTCAACGTTTTCTTTTTGTTTGTTTTCTATTACATTGTACCTTCTTTTTTGTTCTTCGTTGTTCTCTGAATGTTGGTAACCTGCAGTCATATACTTGTAGTTCAAAAGAAAATCTGAGTAAATATTTTCCCCCTTTTATTTCAAAATTTTACTCATTTCAACTAATCGGATGCAATTTGACATTATGCATCCATGCTAATGAAAGTGCAATACCACTATGTTTTATTTTTTATAAGTAAAGCTTATAGTATATTTTGCCAAAAAAAAAAAAAAAAAAAAGAGGAAATAATGAAAACCCAGTGTTGGATTTAATTTTTTCAACCTCATCATTTGAATGACTGGTATTGAGAGAAGGTGTCAATGAGCAGCTGGCACTGTGTGTAGGAAGCAGGATCACACTTTAAAAGCTACCTAGCTCTGTGAGAGTGAAGTAACAGATGTCTTATGTTATTTATTAAATTCAGAAGGAAAAGGATGTCATTGTACCTGCCAAGACCATTTAGCTTGAATTCCTTCATTTTATTCTTTGCTTTCATTTTTCTTTTCTCTCAAATGCAAAGACGCAGTTCACTCAGCTGCTTCAGCCAGCCCAGCAGTGCTCGCGTGCTTGTGAGACAGGATTGAGAGAGAATCCTGTGGACAGTTGAAGGTGAATTTATTCAGGTTAAGGCCATGGGGAATGTGACAGCAGGGAGGAAGGAGATATGCCTTTTAAAAAGTCTTTAACAGTACTACTGTTTACCTCAGAAACAGATGAGGAAGGGGGAGGGGGGGGGGGGGGAGAGAGAGGTGCCATCCTTGTCTTAACTTTGTCGTGCGGGGGATATTTTGACTGTTGTCATCACCTGAATCATGCTTTGATCTTGCCTCATTGTAGCCGTTTGTAGTCTTTGTTGCAGGTATGGCATGAGTTTATTTGATTTATAAAAATAAAAAAAAGAAATGGTTATTTATATGATTGACATTTAGTGTCATCTACCAAGAATCGTTATTTATTCATTGTATAACTGATGTGTTTGTGAACATTTGTAATCACAAAAAAGGGCTTTAATATGGCTACGTTTTCTTTTCTGCAACTGTTAGCACGTCCAAATTTAGTTTGCAAACTGTTCACGTCAAAACAAAACAAAAACAAAAAAACGATATAACGATACGTTCAAAATCTTGATTCGACAATAAAAGCAGACGAAGAAATGAATGATTCAAAAGAATTGTAATATTATGAACGTGATGCATTTAGGAGCAACTCTTCACCCTTTCTGTACAACACCCTCTTTTTCTTGTTTCGAACTGTCTTCACACAAGCATGGTGAAGATCGGCGTTTCAGGAGGGTCTAACAGAACAAGCCTGTTTATGGGATATTTTTTTGAAATGCAACATTGCATGTTGTAGTCATTTATATATAGAATATTATATACTATTTGTAAGGATTTTTACAGAGCACAATCCAGAATCTGGTATGAGTTGGTATTTTTCTAACAATTTGCACACCTGTATTTTGACAATGGAATATAACTTGTTTGTAATTGGTAATGTAATGCACATATGATAATGTTTGACAGTGGAGAAAAAAAAATCTTTATTTCTGATTGGTTGTACTGTATGTACCATTTGGGGATGTGAAAGACAGATGATGTACTCGTTTGAATATTTAAGGATATAATGAACTGTGGGAGACTTTTGATATCTCAAGGTTCACGTGACCCCACTGATTTGTGCAAAGTCTTTGGAGATGAAGTTATGTGTATAACAATAAAGATGTTATGCCTTGATAAACGACATTTTGCTAATACCTTTGTATTTTATTGCTTGACAACACACTGATAGATGGAAGCTGAGAACTGCCATGCTTCCAATGTGTCCTGTTCATTCTAGAACCACACCTTGATGATTTTGTTCCTCTGTCCATGGCTCAGTATCAACCCAGCATCAAGAACTTGGATAATTAATTATATCACTTTCACAATAGTGAATGGAAGCCAGGAGAGGGAATGCTCGCAATTATTGATCTTGAATCAAGAGTTCATCATTTGGATCAGATTTAGATGATTATATGGTACCAACATAGCAAAGCTTGTTTTCATGTGATAACAGGTGATATTGTCTTGACCAACAGCTGCTTAATGGGATACAGTGTGTGTCAAGAAGAAACCTGTTTTTTTTACGATTAAGATTATGGAAACCTCAAAACTGAGTACCTTGTTCATTTGATCACACTTGATGTCACATTTCAAGATCAACATGGTTTATAACTTAACAGTGATTAGAGTAACGACTGATTAGTTCTTACAAAAAGAGGCCAGGAGATAGAACTGCAGCAGATGTGTTGAGAACTGTAGCCTCTGGACCTGTGGCACCTGTTCTACCAACTGAGCTAAATCTGCACCTGACCTGTCCTCAAAAATATACCCTCCTCAATCAGACATTCCATCCATCCATTATCTATACAACCACTCGGATGTAATTTGAGCAATGTCAAATTACAGATTTTTACCATTCGGGGTCACGGGGCTGGAGCCGATCCCAGCTGCCATTGGGTGAGAAGCGGGGTACTACCTGGAGTTTTTGCCAGTCAATCACAGGGCTGACATATATACAGATAACCAGCCACACCCATATTCACACCTACGGGCAATTTAGAGTCACCAATTGACCTAACGAGCATGTCTTTGGACTGTGGGAGGAAGCCGGAGTACCCAGAGAAAACACACACATGCAAGTAAAGAACATGCAAACTCCACACAGAGAGGCTCCTGTCCGACGGGGATTTGAACCCGGAACCTCCTCGCTGTAAAGCGACAGCACTAAACTTTGCACCACCATGGAGCCCTAATCAGACATAATTATATTAAATCAGATCTAACTCAATGCTAAATTGGCCAGGATGCCTCCTATGCATGCTGTTATAGCCCTCGTTGTTTTAAAGTAATAAAAGGAAATCACTTTTTCTTTCCATGTGATTGTGGTTAATAACCCATAATGCTCAGTTTCCAGTGGTCTTGAGATAACAACAGAAAAAAAAAAATTACATTATGGTGGTTTTAGACGTCATACAAATATTCAACTTCCAAAGGATCTTAACTTTTAATCTTCAAGGTGATTTGATTTGTTGATTTATTTCCAATATACTGAGTAAAAAATACAAATACAAACAGTGCAGCCCAGCATACAACAAACATTTATATAACATACAGTAGATACTTTCATCGTCTCTGAATTTAACTTACTATTCAAGTATTTCCACTTGTCAAATGTTTTGAATTCCAGTCTCGTGTTCACTCTTAGCTTTCTGATGGGTGCGCTGTCTAATCTGGGCTGAACCTTGTCCTAGTGATGACCTCATTTTGACTTCTTCATAATGAGATCCAGGGGGAAAAGAAATGAGACATGAAATCAAAGTATCGTTGTCGGGGTGGGGAGCTGCGGCGCTTTCACAGGCAGGTGGCCCAGTTTGTCTGGGGTCATTTTGTACTGTTTCTACTGCAGATCAGCCTCGTGTAATGTTACAGCAGCAGCGGCACCTGCCTGGAATCAGCAACACCATGTCATACACTTACCAAAACCTGCGACATCACCAGACACTGCAAAACTTCATGCATCACCCAGAACTTCCACCAGATACGTGTGCATTGCGTGCCCGATCCGCTCCTTTAACTCTCGTCCGTCAACCCCCACAGGCTGCGTATGGGTCAGTTTTAGTCTTCTTTTGATTAGAAAACAGTCAAAAGTTAATTTACAAAATTCTAAAATCACATTGCTATTTTTGTACCTATTGCACATGGCATGTCCTTAGATTTTGAAATACTTTACTTTGTAAAGTAAAAACATCAGATGTCATTATAGCCGCCGACTATTATGGTGTCACTGCCTCTGAAGAGACTTTTTTTTAAATATCCTGGCATGTAAAACCTCTGTGTTAATCAGGACTTGTCAGTAGTAGTATAGAATATCTCTGTTACTATTCTGATAAGGCACAACAAGCTGGATACAATTTGATTGCACAAGCATTCCTTACAAATATAAACCCAAACCATATAAGTGTATCCTACCATTATAGAGGCCATTTAACTTATTACAGTGACAGCTATGACCCTGGCAGGGATGGAGAGCTACGGTTATCTTCACATTTTATGTTCAGCAAAGTGTGTATCCATCTGGAACAAACCGTATGAATTCAATACCTCAGGACTGTGGTTACCCACACATAACAGCACAAAACATGCCAATCATAACCTGGCATGTATTTTATTTTCACTGTACTATACTTTCTGGTCGGCTGAAGGATTTCCAATTGATGATTGATTACCTCACAGGCCACTTTTGTGTCATTTCTAGACTTTTTGGGGCTTTTTTTGTGCCCCAATTCTCGAACCCGAGCCGCCCGCCTGGAAGACCACAGCCTCAATACATGGGGCGCGCACAACACCCACCACTCCACCGGCGCCCCATGTCAAGTTATTACAGCTCTCTAAGGTGATTCTATAAAAAGAAAAGACCCATTTAAAGATTCTCAATGGAAGCCCATTGGTGCCACTGAAAAGAGAATTGATTAAAATCTTAACTTGGAGTAAATGTAATAAAGACATTTCCCCCACCAAGTAGGATTAAGAGACATTATTTTTTTATGGGTCCAAATAAAAAGAGAAATTTATACAGATTTCTCTCAGTCAGCAAAATGAGATTTGTGAGTTACATTTCATTGACCCACACAGCACTTTAAATCAATTTTAACTATTCAAAAAATGTTTGTTTTTTTACATTTGAATCAACTTATTTTTGTACATTTTAATCATAAATTCTCTTAATAACTCTTTATATAAAGCACACAACTTCTAAGCAGTGAATGAAGGCTTTATATCGATTTAACCTGTGAACAAGCACTTTGTTATGTTATTCATTTTTGATAATTTAGCTCATTGAATTAGATGTGTGATCGGAGGAGTTCTGTTTGCTCAAATATACAAAATAAATACATAGAAAATTGTAATATTTACTTATTTTTATTATGTGGATAACTTGTTCTATAGTGTTTATAAATGCTCCATACTGTATGGGTGGGAGTTACTGCTGTTTGGCCCATTGTGCAAATTTGTTGCCAATTAGTCGTTAAACAAAATAATCAAGCATGATTTCAAACCTTTTATTCTTCCAACTAACGTGTGTATATTACTATTGGCCTGTTCGTATAGTATCCTAACTAAGAGAAAATACAAAAAAATAGTTTTTGTGTGTATAATTGACTCCCCTCTCTGAGGCCGAGCCTCCACCTTCTCACTACACACAACTTGGTTGTGTTTCTAAAATTGGATTAAAGCTTGTAAGCAGTGAGGGGATATCAGCGGCCAGAGTTTTTAAAAAACTGTTGCGAAGACATCAGTATTAAGCAGATCCCCTTTCCATGCCTGGCATAGCTAAGCTTAGCTTAGCATCACTTCATCTGTTATATTTACACAAACAAATGTCTGTAATAAAACCATAGACGTAGCACTCATTTAAACTATTAGCTGTGTTTTATCACTCAAACATGCATATGTTTATACACCCAAAAGCAATTTTTAATCCATGTCGACAACTAAAATATAAACACAATTCACTTGTGTATCATTCAGACTTTTCATGTCGTGTTTACTTAATGACATCTGAGTAATGGTGGGGGTTTTAATAGAAAGGGGATTGTTGGGGGAGTCATTACAGTTCAAACAAACAAGGCCTCAACACAGCGCATTAGCCTCAGGCTGCTGAATGTAAATGGTTGTCACTTCCTTTTATGCATCTGTTCTGCCATTTGAAGCTTTCATGGTGCGTGGAGTAGGGGCGGTGCACTTACACTGATACAGAAACAAACAAGCTGAAAAATCTTTTTCGGTTATTTTATGATTTGAATAATTTTTTCTATGCTTCATTCTCAGTTTGAGCTTATGAGCAAACCACTCAGTCTTAATGGCTGCATGAGTCTGTGGCTTTGAATGTTTATTACATTACAGGGCGCTCTGTTAATCACAGTCCTACTAATGTTGCTTCAATGACTCAGAGTATATTGTGTTACTACTCTGGCTTGTGTAGGTGTCATTTTCTGATACATTTTGATAAAGGACATAAAATCCTATTTTCTCTCTCTTTTTATCCAGGAAATATATATGATTAAGAGACTCCATAGCTGTGTATAAGGGTGTCACATGGCAGAATTAAAGGAGCCCTACATGAACATGCACCCGTACATTTTTTTTACTTCATATTCCCATGACAACAAGTCAAATCCAGTTATTTTCTTGAGATCTCCATTTATTTATCTCATCATCTCGATAGCAACGCTGTTTTTCCTGCGATAAAGATGACATTTGAATTATTTTATCAAGCTCCCAACTGATTTATCTTGTTTTAACGATGCTGGTTTAATCATGAAAATGGGATCATTTTCTTGTGATCTAGAAAAGAAAACAATAAGATGATCACTGTGATTGGTCAGACCACAGCATGCCATTCTGCCAGGCATTGCCCACACTTACTAATAAAGTAAGTTAAGCTTATTTCTGTGTTTTATCTGTGCTTTTGTAACTCCAGGGATATGAGATTAATAAATCAAGAGCTTGGGGGGAAAAAAAATAAAATTACTTGTAAACAGTAGTACAGAATATAAATATATATTTCTTATTAAATTGTAATGCCAGACTCAACCATCATCTCGTAAAAATAGAAGCATACGATTTACAGAAAATGTTTTCAATCTAATAAGCTCACATGACAAATAAAAGAGTTTAGACATTTGTTGGTTTCTTGTAGATAACACAATTCCAGTACACAAAGTAGACACCAAGCTTTCATTCAAATATTTTTTTTCCCCATTTGAATTCTAACTTCTTCTTTTCTTAAATGTCTTTACATATTGGTATCCTTCTCTTAAATTAGGTGAAATTGTTCATGGCATGCCACAAGTACGGATGCCCCTCTGCAGAACTAGTCATGAGAATAGGCCAACATGAGAATTTCAGGGCACCGCGACTCGCTGCAGGCGAAAAGCAACAGTACCCTCAAATTCATTGTGACAAGCCTTTTCCTCTTTTCACAGAAGAAATGCCCAGGGACACACCTCCCCCATCTCCCCCTATCATAACTAAAATTCTGACCTGGTTTCATTCAAGGCCTCTGCATCTAGGCTACTGTACAGTTCACAATGATCCAATGTATTGACATTTGACCGGCTCCATTCTATTCAAACTGGTGGCATACCGAGGTGAATCCTAAGGAATGCTGGTGAAATTATTGTAAGGCCTGCTCTACATACCTACAACATTAATTCTACTTCTGTGTAACTTTTTAAAAATAATTTTGCCTTTAATAATCAGGGTTTTTTTTTTTTTTAATGAATACCAATGCTGTCTCTAAAGGAGAACATTTATTTGCCAATTAAGGATACACTGGATGAAAAGTACAAATTTGCTTTGTGGCTCGTGCACCAATTCTGCACTGATTGACGAAGCAAAAGTACTCAAAATACAGCTATCCTTAAAAGGTAACTTTATAAAAGATATGTAACATTATTAAACATTTTTAAGTTATTGTAATGTGGACTTCTGTCTTTCTACTGAAGTAAATGTTCTATAAAATAAGTTTATATAAAAAAAAATATATATGACCATTCTTATATTCTGATTGGCACATTGTCCTGATAATGTTGGCCCACTTACAAACATGTATCTGTCACGCTCTACACTGTTCATTTGCTCGTCTGCTTTTTTAGGTATGTTTACAGCGTCCCAGAATTTCCAGAACGACCCGTGTGCATGCAACAGAGTGTGATCTGAGATGGATGATATCACTTTGCATGACAAGAGAGTTTACACGCATTGTGGGTGTATGTGTGTGTTAAGGAAGCCCTGTTCTGAGGGCCCGAAGCAGCCTCCCCAAAATAGAGCTGAGAGCAGCTGCAGCGGGTGGTGGGGGGGTGGGGGGGGGGGGGGGGGGAGGAGTGTATCAGGGAGACATCAAAGGTGATGCCGCCACCCGCCCGCTCTGATCATAAGCGCTAATGGTGTAATGGGGGACTGGAAGGTCAGTGATTGTTTTTGGTTGTGAGTGTGTCTCTTTAAGTCTCTCTCTCTCTCTCTCTCTCTCTCTCTCTCTCTGAGTGTGTGTGTGTCTGTGTGTGAAAGAGAGAGAGTCAACAGGCAAGGGGCCACTAGAACTTTCTGGAATATAAACTGACAGCACAGCATTGCTAAGCCTGGTATTACTGCAAGACAAATACCAGGTCAGGTGTCACCTCTGCAGAAGTCATCGTTGGCTAATGTGGTAGCAATGAGCAGAGTCAATTAAACAAGACAGGTTGGACCAGTCTGATAAACTGTCTCTATTGTGAATCAGTTGTGGTTTGTTAAAATGTATGTGCAAATAAACAACCTTAAAACAGTATGTGATGTTCAAACTTCTTACATTACACTCATCAGAGTGCACCTCTTCGGCACATTTTACAGGCATGCTCAACCCTCTTCTCTTAGCGCCACAGCTCAGATAACTCTGAGTCCGTTTGTAGGCCTCAGATTTCAACAGTCATCACTTTTCCTGCATGAAAAGAACTCAAGGCGGGATCAGGGCAAAGTCACACTCTGAACCTGACCGTGACTACAGTATGTGCCCACTTCTTAACTGTGTCTACGGTGAACATCCACTTTACCTGACAGAGGACACTTCATGAGCTGTGGCGGCTGGTTGTTAATACAAAAAACACAACAACAACAAAAAATTAACAAACTAGTTTAGAAAATGTTTGACTTTTAGATGGCCCTGCAAGGTCATAATACTATTCATATAATGAAATGCTCTTTAAAATATCCATACTATTCTAATACAAAGAAATACAGTATGCTGACGTATCTGCCTTTTACACACTGGACTTTTTCAAGTGTGTGATAGTGTAGAGTACATACCTTCTCTCTACCTCATTCTTTCTTGAATCCAAATTTATGGGCCTGCAAAATGTCTCTGTCATGTCCAATCAGCACCTGCTCTCGCTCTTCACAGTCAAAGGAGACAGTCAGCGGGGGTCAACCTGAAACACATGCGCCACCTATAGGCTTTAACAGGACACTGCCATTTCAATAATGAACGGCCCTGTAAAGCAGCGCAAATTTGACAAGTCATTTTATTTCGTTACTGGGATTAAAGATGCATCCTTCCCCCCCCCCCTCCATCTCCTATCAACGCTCATCATGTTGTGACGGCTGTGACTGACTCATACTGGACAGCGGAAGTGACTCTTCATTACCCAAAAATAGGCCCCTGTTTTGCATTACTTTAAACATGCGCGTTATTTAACAAACAAAAAAAAAAAAGGAAAGATACTTCTAAACAAAGTTTGTTTCAATGTAGAACTGAATAAGGATATTGCCTAAATATGAACATGTATTTAAATTGTAGACGAGTTTATTTTTCGATTAGAATAATTATGGAACTGTTTTCTAATGGCGTGTGAAATCCCACGGAAGACATTTATTGCGCACTAGTGTTCCTAAAAACTAGTTCCGGGTATCAACATTCTGGTGGCTAACATTAGCTGGAACCGCAGTCTCCACTCGACATTCTTCTTCAGAGTGGTAAGAAACATTACCGTGTTTTTTTTTTTTTTTTTTAACATGATAACGATAAATAATAGGTTGTCAACTTAAATGTGAAACACTAAACAACGGATTAAATTATTTATGGCGTTATCTGCCGTTTCACTGCGCGCTAGCGTGCTAGCCTTAGTTAGCTTCTCCCACGGTTGCGAAATCGCTTAAATTGTAATGGATGCATAAAGACACGGCCACTGAGAGATGTTTTGTTACACAGCCGGCAGGTAAAGCAGTGTGTTAGTGCTGCAGATTCACGTTTAAAAAAATAAGTCTCGGGTTTGCCAACATCCGGGTGTTTTAATGTGTCTTCACGTTACAAGGTTTTTTTTTATTTTTATAGATTTAACACAATAAAAGCCGAAATAATGTCCAGGAGTCTGTTTCCTTACGTTCCTTACGTGATTGACGTGTTTTTGACGTTTCTATCTTTGTTCCCGTCAGGGTTAACAGACCTCCAGAACAGAATGGGTGAGTTGATAAACATATTTCCAGTGGCCACAATCACTGTCTTCACTGAGTGGTGCGTAAACATTTGGCGTACACCTGTTTTGAGACTGTCGCTTGTGTTGCCCCCTCCCCACCCCCACCACAGATGGCGAAGAGAGAACCTACGGTGGCTGCGAAGGGCCAGATGCCATGTACGTGAAGTTGATCTCTTCAGATGGCCATGAATTTATTGTGAAAAGAGAACACGCCTTGACATCTGGGACTATCAAAGCCATGTTAAGCGGGCCAGGTGAGGATTCTGGAAAATGAAGGAAATACTTCAAGTTTCCCTTTTATACTTAACATTAGTACTTGTATCCTAGTTTACTGTTAAAAATCCAAACAAGAGGAGTGAAGAGGAAGGTCTTGTTTAGTGAAAAGAAGTGAGATAGTTACGTGGGCTGCCAGAAGTAAGTACGGAGTTAGTGTATGGTGTTTCATCTGGACCATGGAGCTCTTGTTAATTTTATAAGCTGCTTAGAATATTTTCTGGGTTTAAATACACAATTTTTTAAAGCTTGATTATGCTTTATACCTGGAATATCTCAAATTTACTGGAACATTCAGAAATTCTCACTTGCACAGACTGTAATAGTTGTTGACATCAATGAGAGCTGCTCCTCTTGATATACTTGGGTCTTGTCCACATGTACACCTCTGTTTAAATAAACTGCCCCCCCCCTGAAGAAATACTAATCTGTCCACATAGTCTTCATAATATACAATAATGAAAGGATTATTTAAAATACTTAAACAAGCATGCTCGAAACAAAAACACATTAATCATCTGTAGTGAGCTCATTTTTATTGGCTGTTGTAACTGTGGACCACATTGGGATGATTACTATTTATTTATTTATTGGTTGAATGGCTAAATGATTGATTGAACTCGTGTTAGAACTATCAGTGCTCACCAAACCTTAATAAAACAATAATCAATGGTCTGTTTTCCCTCCTTCAAACTTAACATTGTGTTTTGCACATATTCACACACGAGTTCTCCAAAGGTTTCTTTTTCCAGTGACATTGAAAGCTGCTTGTGTGTGCACGAAAGGTGGAAAAAGCAAAGAAGGACCTTGTGTTATGTCTGAACAAGGTGTTATTGTTATTGTTCTTACTCTTTGGTCAACCTATTTGCCAGTCTTATAGATGGTTTCACAGACCAGGATTAAACCGTAGTTGCCTCATGTTCTTATTCTAGTAACTATAATGACTACTTAGGTCCTGTGTCCACCTAGTGTTTTTTTGTCCGGGCGTATAAGCGATGGATCACTTGCATGAAGTGTTTGTTCACTGAGAATGAAAGTGCTGCAAGTCAGTTGGTTGAAAGCGGTAACTGTATGACCGACACTACTTCATTGCTTTTATACTGAATGTTTGAATGAGCGCCATTGACGTCAAAAGCGCCTTTCTAAAAAGTTGAAAGCTTTTCAATTCGGCTGCCCAAAAAAGGCGCTCGGAAAAAAGACGTTAGGCGCTGCACTTTTTCTCCGGGCAGCCGCCTGCTGCTGCTAACGCCTCGTTAAAAATGGTGTGTTAGGCTGTGTAAAAAAAGGTGTACATTGGGATGCTTTGCTTGCTTACTCAGTTGAAAAGATTTGGGGATTAAGTCTGTGGTTTCAGATAGCTTGTATCAGTCTGTCCAGTTGGTGGCACCATGCTATGCGTTTTCCTTCATTGACATTTGTAATGTATTTGAGTATATTATTATTATTATTATTATTATTATCATAGGTAATTCCAGGGAAGAGAGGATTAGTATATGTTTAGTAATTCTCTTGACACCCACTGTGACCCTACATTTACAGGTCAGTTTGCTGAGAATGAAACCAACGAAGTGAACTTCAGAGAGATTCCCTCTCACGTCCTGTCCAAGGTCTGCATGTACTTCACCTACAAGGTCCGTTACACCAACAGCTCCACAGAAATACCGGAATTCCCCATCGCTCCGGAGATCGCACTGGAACTGCTCATGGCTGCAAACTTCTTGGATTGCTAAATTACAGAGATAATGTAGCCACTTAAAACATTTTAGATTTATTTTTCTTGAATATTTAAATTGTTTTTCCATAAACATGAAAGAGTATGTCACTTTGAGGATTTTTTTTTCTTTTGCACTTCGCTTTTTGTCATTATTTTAGTGGTATTAAAGACTTCATTTTAATGTAATCAATGGATATGGCAAGCTTCATCACTTGCCCCAGAATGTGATAAACATAAACATAAATCTTTCCTCACCTCTCCAGCCTAATAAAGACCTGTTTGGTGAGCAATTTGTTGCCATTTATTACCTTGTTCTATAAGAAGTGCATCTGGCTTTAAATAACTCTAAATGCATTATATACTAGGGCTGCATACATTGCTGTCTTATCACTAAGGTAATATGAGCATTTGCTATGAACATGTTGCAAAACTCTTAATTTATTGTAAGAAATAATGATTTCATGTAGAGGCGTAACAGTGTTTCACTCTGCATGCAAGTATCTACCTGTTGAACGGAGGCCTGTGAGTTACAGCCATGCCCTTATATAGAGTTCAGTCTGATGAAGCTAGTGCCAGCTTTCAGCTACCCTTGGGTTAATTTGTGCCAATTTAGTGGTGGAAGAAATTCTTTCTGGATTTGTTTCAGATTCAGCATAAAAACATGTTGCAAATATATCAATAATTGTATGTCAATACGTGTTCTCCAATAATAGGTTATCATATTTCATATGACAAAATTGAACAATATTATTTCACAATACTTTTTTTCACATGTTGTACAGTCTCAAGAAAATATTCAAGTCAAGACAAAGAAGTTTTGATTCAGAAGTGATTTGCCCATATTAAAGGGGGACATATCAGAAAATCCACTTTAATAGTGTTTTTGAGCATGTACTTGGGTAACCTGAGTGTCTACCGACCCACAAAATGTGAAATAAATTCATCCAGTCCTTTGTTTGTGGTCTGCATAAGTCTTACAACACAGAGAAAAATACTCTGTTTCAAATTTGCTCTTCTTGTGTCGTCTGGTATTCTGGTAAAAAAAAAAAAAAAAAAAATTCCCTCCCCTGGTATTTCCATCCCCATCCTTGAGCAAAACTTTTGTGCAGGTCCGACATTTTTATTCTCGCTCGCGAAGGGGTGATGTGTCCCGGGGATAACTCAGGGAGGGCTCATTGAATTTAAAGACACACACACCAAAACGGAGCATTCTGACAGATCTTTGACAGAGCCCTTATTCACAAACATTATGACAATCCTTTCAAGAGAGTTCCTAGTTTAAAAAATCCTAGCAAGGAGTCTTAGCATAGGAGTGATTTAAGAACACTCAGAGCAACTCTGAGCATGGAAGAAACATTAACATTTATCCCCGTTACTAGGTATGGCACATTTTTCAAGCTGTGATTGGTTAATAAAAAAAAATGGAGATTAAAAAGTCAGTCATAGAATCTAGTCAGACATTTGTTAATTATGAACACTATGAAATTAGCATCTGTGTGATAATTTACTTTACTTTAAAAGTATATAAATGTTTGAAATCACATGCCTACTTGTTCAGCAGCTTCTTCACATGCTGAGAGTTATAGCAACAGGTCAAGAGCCTTAATTAGTGATTGGATTCACCTGTGGAGGTAACTACATGTAGAGAAAATCAACATGCTTTTCTCACTTTCCACGCGAAGAAGTCATAGATGGGTTGAAATGTCTGCACAAATTCTATGAGTCAAAAATATTCTTCATGTTGTGTTCAAAGAACATTTCTTAATTTTTCCTCAGTTTGAGAAACTCTTAAGCCAGTCTCTCTTAAGAGCTAAGATGCTATGTGAATAACTTTCATCTTTACAAGGATCTAGTCCTTACTTTAAGGGGAAATTCTTAGAAAATGTCCTGATTCTAAGAAATTTCTAAGAATTTTGTCACTTGGAGCAACTTTTAGTACTTACGAGGCATTGTGAATACCCCCCTCAGGTTAATACAGGATCACAAACCTCCTCTGGTGCTTGATTCTTGTTATATTTTGACCAAAGCACAGCACAGTTGTTTCATTTAGATCAAAAGGGACTGTTTGAAAAGGTGGAAAAGGGGTATAATATGTCCTCTTTTAAGCCCATACAAAGTCATTAGATTTATTTGGTATATAACTTCTTGTATTTTTCATATCTCAATAGGCAGAAAGAATATCACAGTGGCAGTTTTTTCCAATATCGTTCAGCCCTACATCATTCTTTAATACTATCTCAAATTCTAGCTTGCTATTTGAAACGCCTCAAAGAACAGTGTGCAGAGATTTAATATAGGCCTACACTTAAATACACAATTTATGTTGCACATTAGTTGTTGGACTTAACTGGGATGATGTCTGTGTAAAAGGCTTTTTAGACAGATGGCCATTATGTCAACATAATAATAATTACCCAGTAGAGGATGTGTTTGATCTCTGATAGTGAAATAAATTAACAGCCAGGAAACATTGGTAAAACACAAATGTGTTTTCAAGTATGCTATACTTTAAACACTTCTAAAATGATCAATTCATGAAGGGTCATCAAAAGAATTTTCAATGTTGCTTTAGAACTTATCTAAGTAAACTGAAAATGTAAATGTATGTGATCTTTTAAGGTCTCCCGCAGTTGGATCAGATGCTTGGATGACTTACCCCATTTCAAGTTCTGCTCCTATAGAAACTAAGGATATGTGATCTAGATAAAGCAGCTTCTTATTTTCTATAGGGAAATAAATTAGATCTTTGTTCTTGGAATTTTTACTGAGACAATTAATAAATGGAAAGTGAAATGAATGGAGAAAAATTACGAGTATTAATGCATAGTGAGATTTTTTTAATTATTATTATTTTTAATATATATTTTATTCATTTTTTTTAACATAAACACAGAACAAGACAGCACAGACATAGCCAAATTACTTAAGGAAAAAATATATATATTTAAAAAAATAAAAATAAAAATAATAACATACATGGGTCGTAATAACATATATCAGATACAATCTTATCTACCTAAATTACACGTCAAAGGGAAAAACATGACTATGACGTATTTTTGAAGATAAAGTGTGGGCACCCTTTCTGCAATAAGCCAACCACATCAGTGGGAAGATAATCTATGAAGGGTTGCCAAATATTATTTAAAAAAAGGGTTGTTATTGCCCTTTAATTTAGCTCTGAGGTGTTCCACAGGAAAAACCTTAAATGTTTTTCTGTGATTGATGGAGGCTTCTCCTGAATCCACAGAAACAGAATGCATCGCCTCGCTAGGAGCGCAGAAGTTATTTTTAACTACTTCAACAAGGGTTAAACTTTTTTCTAAGTTTACACTTATTACTAAAAGCAGTAAGAAAAGTAGGAACGAAAATAAATGTGATGTTTGGTGTTTAGGTATCAGGGATGTGCAAGCAGGTCATCGCTCCCTGAGCAGAGGTCATTGACCCTCCTTCACGTCCTGCTTGACCTCAGCTGTAATCTTCCTTGTTTCAAATGTTCCCTCTCAATGAAATTCAGCAATAACAACGCTAAACGGTCCGAAAACGACTGAAAATGAGTGAGCATTGAAGCGGAGTCCTTGATCTGACGGTGCACATCAGTGGATTGTTGTCTTCTGTCAAAAACAAGTCGTCTCACGTGACTTCGTGACGTACAGTCCTCCTCTCTGATGCAGGGGGGTTTCCATCATGGCGTCCATGCAGGTAAGAACACAATCGCCTACGGTCGAATATTTACAATGTAACTGACCTTTAGTGTTGTCCTATGTGCTTGTTTATTACCTACTTTATTCAGGAACGTGTATTTGTTCGAAGTGGCCATGACATTAGGGTAAAAGCGACGTCATTTATCAGCAAAGACGAAAGCGCTTGGTCTGTGCTAGCAACACAACTAGCCCATCATCACCCACAAAAACCTGCTTCCTGCTTACAGGTTTGAGATATTTGAGTGGCGAGGAGTCTATTTTTCGCAGCGGCCAAGTGGATGATGCCTCAAGGGCTGTTATTGTTACGAGTGGAAATTCATTGGCGATATATTTTTTTTAAACGAGTGCTTACTGCTATTTGGTTGACGTTGACGTAAGCGAGCTAACGAGACGAGTGCGCAGATTGACTAGTTCCAGTTTCCTCTTTGGTTGAACAGGTGCATGTGCTGTGACATTTTTTCTCCTTACCTAACATACCACGACTGTGTTAAATAATGTATATTGACGCGCTGTGATTGTTCCTTATCGCTTCAGTGTTCATAAATTGGTTCCTTCATGCTGAACGAGTCGTATCAGTCAGGGTGGAGTTGAACCATAACTACAATTACCTCTATAATCGTGACGTCATTAAACGAATCAAATAGCATTTTTCAGCAGTGCGGTATTGGAAGCGATGACAACAACAACAAAAAAAGCACTGTTCACATTAAAGTTTAATTAATTTTGTTTGCCTCGGCTTGTTATGTATTGTCACTGTGATGTTGTCTCCAACAGAAAAGGCTACAAAAGGAATTATTAGCCCTGCAAAATGATCCACCCCCAGGAATGACGCTTAATGAAAAAAGTGTACAGAACACCATAACACAGTAAGTGTTTATTTTACATTTTAATTCATCTGTTTTAGCATGGCAACAAAGAAAATCACCTTTTACCTGTTGCCAGTGACTCGTGGCAATGACTGAACCATAAATTGTCTGTTGCTTTGTTAAAATGTCATGTTGATCTCTATGCCTGGACCCACACATTGTTTGAGTTGTAGTAGAAAGTGGGTTTAAGACACAGCTGTTGTAGCCTAAGCTGTGGCTGGTGTGGAAGAATTCGGGAGACTGGCAGATTTGGCCCGTCACTGGAGTGTCTCTAATGCACAGTGTCGCTATTCATCCTCATAAAATATTTAGAAGTTGGCATTCAGGAGTTGGGCTAGGGTAGCAGGAAAGAGAGAGGCTACTTAGCTGACCTTTCTGTCCGGGTTTCTTGGTGTTCCCTTAAAAGCCAGTCATTATGTTGACTGACTGAGTTATGAGTTGACGCTGTACAAATAAAAATTGATTGATTGATTGATTGATTGAGTTAGCCAAATTGTGTCTGGTAAGCAGAAAGGAAGATATGATGTGTGGTCCTGTGAATGGATTGGAGAGAACTTTATGGACATCATTCTACTGTACAGCTATACAGTATACAGCATCACAGTGCACTCTGGTTGATTTAAGAACATTATGTAACAATGCAAGATCAATGTTTTGTTTCTTCACGACTCTGAAACCTGTTTATCTAGCTGCCGAGTTCAGTGCAGCCGAGGTTTGACATGGTATTTATGGGTGTGCCTTTTTTTTTTCAGCTCTGATTTTAGAGGTCTAATGAAGTAGTTTAGTGTCATAATGACTGACAGTGGTAGGGATTTGCTTGTTTAACCACATGTCCCAGTGGAGTAAGATACAGATACTCTGTTCCTGCTTTAAGTACAAACTTCAGCGTATCCCTTTTTTTTTTTTTAGAAAACAAGCGTAACAGTGATGTGCGTGTCAAAGTGATAAGGTGTTCTTTGTTTTGGTACACATTGTCTTTTAGTTCTGCTCATTCGATTGAGATCTATCTATCAGTCATCTGTGTGATGCAGTTGAGCTTGATGCTGAAATGGGTAAATCCTTGCAAACAAGGAAACTGTTCAATCAATCAATCAATTTTTATTTGTATAGCGTCAACTCATAACAAGTGTTATCTCGAGACAGAAAAAGCAGGTAAAATACCTTACTCTTTGTCTGTTAACGTTACAAAAGAGCAGGTAAAATACCTTACTCATTGCTTTAAAGCACTGATCAGATACCAGTTTTCTTCTTCCTTAAACGGATACCTGATTTTAAAATCTGCAGATATCGACTACATTCCTATCCTGCAGCATCATAGTTGAATAAAAATAACTTCATAGTACTCATTAAATAGATCAAATGAACATATCTTCTATCAAACATCAATCCTGCATAGGTACTATTTTATTGACAGACTCTTTGCTCTTACCTGATTAGCTTGTTTTTGAGAGGAGGAGACCGCTTCTGCTCCAATGTCAAAAGTTGTGGCCAATGAACACTGTAAGAAGCCTATTCTAAAAACAAGTGGTGCATCTCGAATCAAGCTAAGCTAACATTCACAGCAGTGGGGCTCACAGCTGCTACAGACAATTTGTTTTCTGCTGAAGAATCAGAGAAGCATCGAGCTTATGCCAGTTTAGCTGAAAGTTACATGGAATTCTTTGCTAGCACGACACTGCACACTATAGTATTGGATCAGTGTGTATTACTGATGTACTAGCCGTTCTCGTACCTTGCGCATTTCAAGCTGTATCAGACTTATTCCCAATATTTTTATCGCAGCGTTTCTCAAAATGGCTCTGTGTAATGTTTGTTGGCTTGATCATGTAATCACCAGGCTGTGGGGAATTTGAGCAAGCTGAGCATTATGTCCTCAGAGTCCTTGGCTGTGTTAGGCGTGGGTTGCATCAGGTGTAACTCGTATACAGTGAGGCTGCCTCTCTCTAAGCTGCTCTGCCTGGGAGAAATACGAAGCTCCTTTTAGATGCTCTGACCGCTGGACTTTCCGAGGGGACAGCTTCAAACAGCACTGACCTTGTAGCTGCCCTAAATGATTATATGCCTAAGGCTAGATTTGAAGGAGACACAAGGCTATATATCCGAACAACAGCCACAAGTCTCTTTAGTGTCCTTTCTGGAAGAAATTAGGCCAGAGATTGTGATGCTGCCATCAGTGCTCCCTTTTCTTCTCCTCTGAGGTTTCTACTGTGAGAAGGCAATGGCCATTTTACCAGTGAAGCAACATCGAACCTGTTTTATGACCATGGAGTACTGTACACTGAATTGACAGGCTGTCCTTCAACTCAAGCATCAAGCCTCTGCGCTTACAATCGTCTATCATTTTCAGCAAGACACTGAATCCCTCGCAGCTCAGTCAGCACAGTTCTGTAGCAAGGCCACTGAGGCGAAAATAGATTTGTCCACTAGATCAATAAGAGTATCACATTATTTCTAAACCACTGTCATAACCCAGCTGGCTGTTGACAGTCAATGGAATGAATCAGAATTACAGCTTTTAATCAAACTGTTACAGCAGTATTGGCAATTTACACACTTTAGGATTCTCTTTTTAGTAGCGATCATGAGATGTGCTCCATGCAAGTCATGCTGTACTTGTTACCAACTAATGTGCAGCAGAACAGAGCTATTGAACATGCAGAGCTTTGGTAATCATTAGATATTAAGACTAAAAGTATGCAGCCATGGTAAGGGCTAAAGATGAAATCAAATCATAGAAGCAGAGAAGTTCACTGCATCACTCTCTTCAGCTGCATTCTCCCTGACCCCTGAAGGAATCGTGTATTAGCCAACAAATAACTACAATCATTGACTATTTCATTAAGCTATAGCTTTCAGTCTTTTACTTGTCTGCCTCTCTTTCCCACTGCCTTGGTGAACGGTTTTTGTGGTTGCAAAAACTGATATCATGTTCTGCATCTGTAAAAATATCAGATTTAATCCATAATAATTCCTGCAAAGTGAAGTGCAAAGGTCAAACTTCTTAATAAAGCACTCACACGCTGAGGTTTTATCATTTAGCTGTCCCAATGTAACCAAATAAGGAGTTACATTCGGGCAAGAGGAGCAAATGTGAGTTGGTCTTTGTGGGTCATTGCTTTTTCACTGCTGCTGATGGTCCCTCACGTCCACACTGCAAACATATTGGCTTGTGCGTGTGTATGGCTGTTGCATTAATGTTTGACCGGCCGGTCACAGATGACAGCGAACAGGCTAAAAATCCGCTCATTCGGGTCATCAGTGGATCAATCGGTGCACCTTTTTTGTTATGTGACTTGGGAAGCATTTACATGCATAACCTGATGTACACATTTTCAATTTGCAGTTAACACAGAGTAAAGCTGAGGCTCATGCCCATGCCATCAGTTTTGCAGGGAGTTTGTCATAAATGAGTAAATGTTGTAGACAAGTGACATTTTTAAATTGATACAATGATTCAGAGAGGATAACCAAAGCCACCAGGATACCTCATCCTGGCACCATGAACGTCTGTCCAGTATGAAATACCAATCCATCATGAAGTTGTTGAGAAATGTTAGAAGAACATACAGACCGATTTTGACATCTCTAGAGTTGTGGCACCTTCCAGTATGGCTATAAAAACAAAACAACCTGTTGTGGAATTAGCAAATTTAAGGTTTCAAATGTCTCTCCTGATATTGTGAGTTATCAGTGATGTTGAATATTTGTTGTATTACTTGCTTGATTTCCTTTGAATATGTTTGCAAAAGGTTAAGGTTGAAACATAGTGTAGTAAATAAAAACATTGAAACGTGATGATCCTTCTCACGTTCTGTATTATTTTTTTAAACTGCTTAAAGTCCTGTTTTATTTGTTCCTGGGAAAAAGACTTTAGTGTACTTGGAACAGGGTGTTAAATGAAAAGCAGTAACTCAGAAAGCTGAGTAGCCTCTCACACACTGAACTGTTTCAATCTGAACTAAAGTTATTATTTTTTAAATTCTTTGACACCACCTGTCTTTTGGTTAAGTGTTGAGTGAAGCACGTTAGGTTTGTATCCTCTTTTTGTTTGACATCATTTAATCTTGTGCATTTCATTTCAGGTGGATTGTAGACATGGAGGGAGCACCCGGCACACTGTATGAAGGAGAGAAATTTCAGCTGCTATTCAAATTTAGTAGTCGATATCCTTTTGATTCACCTCAGGTGAGAGGAAGTTTGTCTACTCAGTGAGAGCTTGTTTTTGTATGGGTAAATGTGGGAAACTTTGTTTCCTCTCCTCTTCAAAAAGCATGTTGTCATTGTATTCTAGTTGTCATTCTCCAAAGGACTGACAATTAAGTAAGTAATTAGGTTTAGAAAAAAAAAAATGTTAGAGGGGTGGGAGCAGTTTCCATAGTGTCACAAATCCTTTCTCAGAGTAAATCAAAGTTAAAACGTGATGAAGAAAGTAGTCCTTCAGGTGCATGGTACAGAAGTACCCATTTTCAAATAAGATCAAAAGAAATAATCCTTTGTATCTACTGTCTGGGTGTCTGCAATAATCACATGAAACACAACACCTCTGCAGTTGTCGCTGGAATGAATCTGGCCTCAGAAACATTGGAGCCAGGAATCACTGACAGAGACAGCAGCACAGAGCATCCGCTCAAGCCACGTTTGAGGGGATTAGTTTAACTCAACATTCTTGTTTCACTCATCAGGAGCTTGGCCGTCTATAAATAGAGAGTGAGTCGGTGTAGAGAAAATTAGATAATCTAAGCTACTACGCTCTCAAATAGGAAGGGCGGGTTGTTAAAGCAGCCCTGTGTTGGACCCCAGAGTTAACTGCTGCAGTACATTATAGGTAATCTGAGGAGCTTTGATTGTAACATATAGTTCACAAATGTTTTGTGTTGATAGATTGTATATTGGTCTTCCAACTATGAAAATCTATTCAAGTTGGCCACATTAGAAAAACACTGAGGGTTCAATAACCATGCAGAATATTTTGTCTATTAATAGCTATAAATATCTCCTACACCTGCATACTAATCTTTCTAGATTTCAATAACAATGGAAAAAAACAAGTCATCCAGAGTCCTTTATAAATCTAATAAAATGTAAATACAAATATCTTTCATCACTTGTTGCTGCTGATAGATTACACAAAGCTCACACACACACACCCACACATGCACACCACACAACTGTTTAGACAGCAGCTAAACTACCTCTGCAGGAGGTTTACATAGCATATGGAAACTATCAAAGCCAAAGTCTTAGCATTACCAAATCACATTGGGTACAACCAGCTGCACATACTAAAGAACAGCATCAGTAGGCATTTAACAGGAGAGGCCCCACACACAACTGGCAGGATGTGATAGATGTGTTTCTCATTAGACTGTGTGTCCGCCATAAGAAACAGATACAGGTTTGACAGAGCAATAATTAATTGCTGATAGCCAAAATAAGTCACAAAATGTATATGGCCTGCAGCTGATATCCCTGGGAGTGACACCAAAATGATGTATATTTGTAGGATACCCATTATCTTAGTATTTATCGTATTACAGACACACCAGACTGAATAAAAGACACCTCTGTGGTCCATAGAGCAGTTTAAAGGGACAGTAACCAAACTGTGGGGAGTTGGTTGGATTGCCCTGCTGTATTCACCGTCATTATAAAACAAACAAACTATGTGTGTGTGTGACCAACAGTGAGGCACACTGGTAGGCCTAGTCATACCAGGTTGATAACATAAAGTTTATGTTTTTATATCATAGAGGTCATGTATTTGTTATTATCATTAAGGATGTTTTTTCACCTTGTTTTTCTTCCTGACTCTCAGTTCAGTTTGTATTGTATTAAGTACATCAGTTTGGTCCCCATAGAGTCCTGGTGATTGTGGGCTGTTCAGGTTTCAAAACTGTCTCTTTGCTCCTTGCCATCACCCCAGATTTTAAAGTGTATCAGACGTTTGAGTAAATATTTCAACTTTCTGTAAGCGAGGAGCTTTCAGATTGTCTCGATGTTTTCATTGTAGTGCCAGCTCTACTTGTGCGCCTATCTGTAACACTCATCCTGTCAGCTCAGTGATGTAGGCTCTGCACTCTCCTGTGAGGCCCTGTCTGGTGCCACGCTGCCTCAACCCATTGTTACCCTTCATCACCCTCTTTACTCACCCTTTCTCTCAACCTCACCACTTCAATCCTGAGTTCCTCTCCTCTCATCATCACACTTTCTGTATCTTCATGTTCAGCTCCGACTCCTGCACCCTTTTACCGGCTGCTATCCGTCGATGCTTTTTATAGACCACGGCTTCTTTTTTTATTAAACATGTCTCCTCTCTTAGTCTCCCATTCTCTCTTCCCCTCTCTCACCCCACCTAGGCCTCTCTGTCCTAATCCCAGAGCCTCATATTACCACAGAGCTTAACATGTGCCAATACAGTAAAACTCATTATTTTCCTTCAAAAAAATCTATTTTTCCTCCTGAATTTTCCCCCCTGACCATCACTCGCCTGAGTTTAAGAGAACTACCAATAGGGCCTCAATTTGGTTCACAAATCTCCTTTTTGGGATCAAATACTCATCACCTGGTAGATGTATTATGATTGCACTAAAGTGAATAACATATGGTCATTTTTCTTGCAGGTAATGTTCACAGGAGAGAATATACCTGTCCACCCTCATGTGTATAGTAACGGTCACATCTGTCTATCTATTCTAACGGAAGACTGGTCACCAGCCCTCTCAGTGCAATCAGTTTGTCTTAGCATTATCAGCATGTTGTCCAGCTGCAAAGAAAAGGTAGGAAACTTGCACTCATGCCAAATGCAGTGATCACTACAAATACAATGCTTATTTAATGTTCATCTGAATGTTGTTTTCTGCAGAGACGACCGCCTGATAACTCCTTTTATGTAAGAACGTGTAACAAAAATCCAAAGAAGACAAAATGGTGGTATCATGGTGAGTATTTCAAACCTCATGTTTCATTTTTCTTTCCTTCTTTCTTTAGTTGGAGGAAGACGAGCTATTGCTTGTAACTCTAAAGTCGATGTAACTGTATTAATATCTGTTTTTCCTTTCGCAGATGATACATGCTAATGTACAAACTTTATAATAATCGTAGAAGAAAGAAGTCCTACTGACCTTCGTAAAGCACTTTTTAATCATTCAGTCTTTGAACTCTGACGTTTGACTGGAACAATGGACACCACGCGCTGGAGGCTCTTGACTGCATTCCCCCCCAGCCAACCCACCCCCCCTCCCCCCCCGACGGTTGGATGCATGTTTTAGGCGGTTGTAACATATAAAGAGCGACAGTAGTGGAACATAAAGATGCACCCGAGATGGATTGTTATTTTTGGTCAAAGAGGTAGTCAATGCAGCGAAGCAGGCGAGGTGGATTTGTGGCGAGATAATTATACTTCCTGTTTTAAGATTATTATGTTTATGTGTGGGTGCATTTAAAGGTCCTTGTGTTGTGCAATAAGAAGTGATGGATGCATGCTTGGGCCTACGAAGAGAAATCCAAATCTGATTGTTTTTCCGGAAAGGATCTGACCATCATAACCCCCAAGAAAATGCTTCATCTGTTTGTTTTTTCAATTATATGCACTGTGAAAGTATCTAGTTTAAAAACAAGGCACTAGTAGTATGATATTCCCAACTTGCAGTTCTTCTGTAAGCAGTCCTCCACTTATATATCAGGTTTGAGGGGTTTTAGTTTGCAACACTGTATCAAGAGAAAAACACACCTGTCTTGTTCACCTTCCAACTCGAGTCCTGGCTGCACTTCCTGCTGCTGTTGGCGAGAATGTCGGTACCAATGGGAATAAACCAGACGTGAAGACAGATGTTTTTCAGTTGAGTACATCACCTCGTAGAAAAAGGGGCTGAACTTGTGCAGCGTTCACAAGTCCACCTTTGAAGATGTGCTGCGGCCTCTCCTTCATTTTTACGAATGTCCGTTATGAGAACGTCGTCGCACAACCCATTTTTATTTTATTTGTATGCTAGTTCAGTTTTTAAATTTCATGCTTTAATCTTCTGAAACATTTGATTTTAATGTCTTGAGTTGTTTGTTTTTTTTGTACTGCTTTTCAACTAGCTCATACTGATATTGAAAGGAGGAGGGGGGGGGGTCTGTTTTGATGGGTCAGTATGTTTTTTGTATTTATTTTTTATTTTTGAATTACAATCTTTGTTCTTGAGAAACGGTAACGAATGACTAAAAGAAGTGTCTTTACAGGAGTGGTAAAGATGAGGCTTTCGGTATTCCCCCTGGTCAGAGTTTTGGCTCAGGTACTTTTTTCAATATAGAGCTCACCTCTTAAAAGATACCTATCAGATATTTTGAATTTAACTATATTTTCACCAAAAGAGACTGTTATGTTATAACATTATAACATGTCTGAAACTATTGTACATAAGTCTTGAATTGTTGGATGATGTGAAAGAAATTAGCAGAGGATGCATTGACTCTATAGCAGAATGATAATAGGAGTGCTTTATTTCATTGGATGTTAGGCTGCATCTTTTGCTAATTACGACGTGTACAGACGGCGACAAACACCACTGCTGGTTAAAAATAGAAAAAAAAAGGTTACGTAGTTTTACAGTGGGGGTGCATGCGATTTTAAACCCTACTTTTTCTTATTGGCATCAGACATTGTGAGAACTTTTGAGTCTTTCCATAAGTTAGGTTCTGGTTTATTGGATGGATTTTTACAGAGCTCACCTCCAGAGGCTTTGTGGCTCGTAGTCATTTTTTTTTTCACACTGTAATCGCTCCATTCCTAAACAAATGTTTTATCGCCATCCAGTCAGAGATACTTGAATTTTCCATCTTGGTTTGTTTGTATTGCGTTTTGCTTTTTCCAGGGTCTAGGTGAATTTCTTGAATGAACATGAGTGAATGTGATGATACTCTATACTGTAGAGGAGATTACCACAGCACACCGCTATCTCAAAAACTATATTGATAACTTAAAGACATCTATTTAACCAATGATTTTTTTTTTTTTTTTAATAGCTTGTAATGGTCTTGTCTGCTGTCACTGTACTAGAAGAAAAAGACGGTAGAATTGAAATGATTGTGTAAATGCAGTCACAACAGCATTTTGTGTGGAAACGAGAAGCCTTCACTCAGTGGCTCGGTAGAGATTTGAAACACATGCAAGGGAATATGTTACAAGGGTTTGGATGTGACTTTTTTTTTTTGTTCCTAGGTTTTTCTTTTCCTTTTTAAATGTGGTTTGAACTCTTAGCTTGCAGGTTGTTGTGAGTGATCAACACTAATGAGGGTGTGTTATTTATATTCAAAATTTTGTTCTGGGATGTGCAAGCTCCATGTAATAGGTGCCTGTTCATTTTCATAATCAATAATAAAAGCAAAGATTCACTTTTATTCAACCTTTGTTTGGATGTTTTTTTTTTTTCCTGTAGTGGGTGAAAATCTTCAATTAATTGTATGCATACATATTTTAAAACAGTGACACTCACTGTTGGTGTAAATAATGAGGTTTGAAGCTTAATTCAGAGAAACAAGTGTCCCTATATTTAACAGGGTACATATTACATCAATTGGACAACACTAAATGGAGAAAACTAAAACATTTTCCAAGCTGCAATATCTACAAGGAAATAATACAAATCATGCCAATCATTTTTTTAATGGGCTTTAAAATGATTTGAGTCTTATATTTAAATAATCCGATGTTCTGAGGCTTTGGTCCTCCTTATTCCTCTCTCTCGCCCTAAATCGAACTCAGTCCACTCTCTTGTCTCTTGCAAGAATTGTGTAGTTTTAAAATAGTTTTATTTATTCTGTTTTTTGTTTAAACCTTTATTTAACCCCCCAAAAAACTTGTTGTTCAAAATCTCTTTCAAGGGTGTCCTGACCAAGTCAGGCAGCAGCACAATTAACAGTTTCAAACAACTATCAAACATATTTACAAATACAATAAAGAAACATAATTATTAAACATAAGAAGACAAAATACTAAATTAAGACAGAAAGTATATTTGATGCTGCTAATATCTCTAATATTTATTCCCTAAACAATGGTCATGACTGTTATTATTTCAGATTTTTCTTGTCACACTGCATGTGAGTGCAAAAACAGGACCAATCCAAATCTCCTGTCATTTAAGCAATCTCCAGTGACACAAGGAAAAGCGAGGTAGTGGCCCCATCTAGTGGTCAAGAGTACACATCAAACCACTAAAGATCCACCATTCGTTTGTGATTTTTTATTTATTTTTCAGCCCTGTGCCACTCATGTTCTCTCTGGAGTTCGTGTTGGTGGTTCATTTCACATGTTGGACCCCTTGGTCATGACCATCCATCATCTGCTGTCATGTGAAGTATGTCTTGTGTGTGTAGATGTCTAAGTGATCCCTGGAACAAACTGTTCCACTCCACTTTTCATAATTGAATCCATAATTAAACTCTACAATAAAATCTCCCCTCAAAAAAAATATGAATAAGTTATAAAAGTTATAAACTGAGCCTACAAAAGTCACAAACAGTATCAGCCTTAATGGCCAGGTGTGTTAGATACGAGGAATATGAATCCCCATTGCGATGTAGTGCCTGCAGTAACATGCATTATTCGTGAATAAAAGTGCATAAATCAGTAAGTATCAAGCATGCATAAAACGCTGCGTGCAGACAGCCAGGTAGAAAACGTCGGTGTTTGCTCTGAATCAAAGTTACAACTGTTCCATCCTCCGAGGAAGCAAAACCAGGACCGAACCATTTTGTGTCACCGCGGGGGTGGCTGATTCATTCAGGATTTATCTCGTACTGTAACGCTGCTAAGTAAGCGATATGCAATATTTAACATTGGAAAAATAAACAAAACACACACTTTATTGCGTGCCATATAAACACGACTCGTATCTTGACTCAAATAAGACACATTTGACCATTTTACACAGAATAATAACGTGGTCTGTTCCCTCTTCCATCCAGTTCTCTTTAGTGTTTGCCAATGTCGGAGGTGTAACTGGGGTCTGGCCCTGGACAAAGGTAAAAAAAAACCCTTAATTGTGAGACCCTTTGTTGCCTGATAGTATCTGGGTTGTTCTTTACTCTGCCGCCTGCTCGTTTATGCTTTTACTGTGGACTGAAATTCACCAGACTTTCCATGGAGGATGGGGCGGTGTGGAGATGCTAGCAAGATGGGTGCTCCGGCCGATCAGCGGTGATGAGCGCTAACCGGCTAAACTAGCTTTTCTGGAGCAGGCTAGATGGTGTATATTCATCAGGCGAAATCACAGAGACATATTCACGACGGCATGCATGCTTCCCAAGTGTGTTGAACTGTTATAAGCAGCTGACACTTGCAGGAAACAGCGTTTTTATAGTTGGTGACGTTAGCTCGATGCTAAGCTGGGCACAGTCGAGGCTATATTATGTAGGTTCAGGGGTTGCAGACAACCCGGTAGGACTGCCAGTCAACCCTACCGTAACACAACACCCCCCCCTTACTCAACTTACTTAGTGTGCAGGTGCAGGACAGCCATGCATTTGGTTGTTAGAAGCTGTGTTTGTGCATGTTGCAGGCAGAAGCGAGAAGAGAACCAAGGTGGATTGTGACCCCGAGAACCTCAGGGCATGCAAAGACGTAGAGGGACTATTAAATCAATTGCATGCAATGAATAAAGTCACAGACCAGACTGAACATGTCATTATGCTGTTAGGAAATAACCGATATCACTTGTGTTATGACAAGCTTCTGCTGTGTTGTTTACACCAGGCTATGATCTCAACCATTGCACACTAGACTTGGGTGACACCTGTTTTCTCAGTGAAAACACTTTCACTCGGTTTAGGTTAGAGTTGCACACACTTCATTTGGGTTTGCTACTGATCTCGATGTACCTGATTTAAATGTAATCATTTGTTTTTTCAAATAACGAATCAAAGTGCAATGAGCTTTACCTCCGCTCACCTCAGGTGTTTGGGTTCTTTCTGACCTCTGTGCTCTGACCTCTGTGGGAACACCTTCAGTGCTTTCCAAAAATGAAAAATTAACCAGTAATGGAGCCATTCTGGCAAGATATTGTGATACGGTTTGATATCTTTTTGAATGTCTATGTTCATCTTTTACTGATAAGAAACACATGGAAGCATATTGTGTTCCTTATCTTGCACGACAATGATCTGTGCCTTTTGCTTTTCATCTAAATACTCCCTGCAGAAGTGATTTTTTTTCTTCTTCTACTTTTGGGGACTGCGCTGATTATGTTAACCTGTGTCTACTTCGTGTTTACGGGCCTTAAGACCTCTCTATAGTCACAGATAAAACATGATTAGATGTCAGTTGTCTTGTTCAGGCTGCTATCACAGGAATCTCTACTTTTTTTTTCTTTTTTTCTGCAGAGCTTTGCAGCAGTAACACGAGCAAAGCTCCTTCAAATAAAGCTTCATTGTCCGGGTGTATTAGCTGCCAGTGGATCAGAATGTGAGATAGGCCTAGAGCTGCCCAGTTTGAAGTCTGTTTTCCTGGCTTTGCACACAGAAATCTCTCAAATGTCACTGAACAGCTGTAAATTGTGCAAAATCTGGTGCTGAATAATGTGTGCGTACACGTGCATACTAGGTGATTACTTTATCTTCTTTTGTTATGTTGAACAACTTGAATTTGCCCAGTGTCAGTCCATCGTAAGTGACATGATTACAGTCGGTGTCTTACTTGAAGTGTAAAGTTTTTAATTGTGGTTCGGTTCCAGGAATAGAGCATGGCTCAAGTGAAAGTACAGACCTCAGCACCCCTGGCTGGTCCTGGCCTCTCCCCCGGAGTTCCCCCGACGGCCATGGCCAGCCCAGGACCCCTGGGTCTGCAGCCCTCCGTCAACGGCACAGGCCCGGCCCCCACACCCGCCTGCCCTGCTCCTGCAGTCGGATATGGGGACGACCCTGTGTCTTCCACATCGCCAGGTAGGAAACCAACAGAATAGTTTTCCTTCCAAGGAAATACAGTGAACTATTTGTACAGCTATTTGCTCATAACTATCATCCTGAAAGATTCACATCTCAGCTGCATCTTAAATTTGGAACTGCAGAAGGTTTTAAAACAAAGATTAAATGTTTCACTGATCCAAATGTCAAAGTAGAAAATATACATCTTCCATTATTAGACCTTGTTTCAAGCCTTTTCTGCTCTTTAGCTCTTGATCGCTTTGGATGCAGCTCTGTTGTCAACAGTAAAGTCTGCACTCACTGTGAGCCACTTGACAGCACAAGATAATGTCGTACTCTGTGTGTTTCTCTATAGAGTTGTTTTGATTTGTTGTTCCGTTACAGTTTTTAAATTGCTGATCAGCCTTGGGCTTCAGGAAAAACGTAGACCCTCCTGAGCTCCGAGCCGTCTGCTGATTTGTCCCACCTTTGTGCATAAGACACGATAATCACAAGTGACATTTGTGTGTGTTCAGAATTTCTGACATAAATGCGACACAAGATACACAGCAGTAATTCTGTAATAATACATAATACTGTCTCTGTTAGCTCTAAGCATGCTGCTCAGTGTATGATGCATTCTGCTGTGCTCTGTTTAAGGCCCGCCCCAGGAGAACATGGCAAACCCTAAAGAGAAAACTCCAATGTGTTTGGTGAATGAGTTAGCCCGTTTCAATAGGATCCAACCTCAGTACAAGCTCCTCAACGAGAGAGGCCCTGCACACGCTAAGGTAAGCAAATGGGATGGTGACTCTGGAGTTGAAACTGAGCAGAAAAGATAAGAAAACTGAAATGACTTTTAATTTTCACAAAATCTGTTATCGAAGCGTGATTCAAAATGAAACTGTGAAAGTTTAAGCAACTTCTCTTTTTAAAGTGCCAGGTTCATAGTTGTATTTTTGAAATGAAAAGCCTGGATTCATGATCAGGTAATTCATGCTTAATTATGGCATCTTCACTGGTATTGATGTTTCAGATTTTGAAGTACTTTTTTTACAAGTGAATTTTGAGCCACCCACAGCTCTAACTGTCATTAACCCCTTGTACATACACATGGCGTCAGCAGTGGTGTAATATTGGTGTCCCAGTGTGTGGTTTCGTATTGCGTTGTGGTATTGTTGAAGTGCAAAAGAACCAGCGTGTGAGCAAACAGCGGGCGCTCCACATACTCACACACATACAATGCACACACAGCACTGTTCTGCGCTCTAAGCCCCGACATGACACATTACCACCGTCTCCCCTCTCTCAAACCTCAATTGGCTTGATAAGGCGGTAAGGGCTTAGCCACACCATTCCTCCTCTGCGCTTTACTCATTGCACAGGTGGCGTAAAAAGGGGTGTATGTTTTCTGCCTTCAACTGGTAATGTGTAAGCGCCCATTGGTTACGGGTTATACTCTAAGGGGTTTCTGAGATATGTTTATTCAGACATAGTTGATGTTAGTTAACGTCTCTCTTTCTGGGTGTCACTGTTGTAGATCTTCACAGTGCAGCTGACTCTTGGGGAGCAGGTGTGGGAGGCAGAGGGCACCAGCATTAAAAAGGCCCAGCACTCCACAGCCGCCAAAGCTCTGGACGAGAGCGTTCTTCCCAGGCCAGCGCCCCGCTCCCCTAAAGTGGACATCAACAGTAACCCAGGTAATGCAACATAAGAGAATGACAGTGAAAGATTGCATTAAAACCTCTCTGTTACTGGTGTTTTTGACATGGAGCAGCTGATACTCTACACGTGCAAAATGTCAATTTAACTGATTGAATTATTATCACCATTTTGTGTGACTAGCATACGCCTGGTAGAAGGAGACAGTTCTGAGTGTAAAGATTGATTCATGTTCAATACTTTGAGAAAGTGATGAAATACAAGCACTGCCCCCTCAGCTTCAGCAGCAGATAACTGATTCTGGCAGTAGCAGCCGGACAAAGTAGGATGGGATAAAGATCTTTACAGAGCAGTGGACCTGTTAAGCTTTGCATTAATTTTGTCAATATTCATCACTTTTCATAGCAGGAAAGCTGGTTGAATCTTCTAATATTTATGCTGTATTTTAAAGCCAAAGCAGTCCCACATTGCAAAATAAATAAAGCATTCCATGTAATTATGATAAATCTAAGTTGCTGGGTGTGAAAACATTGGGAAAAAGATGTTCACTAGATCATTCTCCCCTGAACATTGCTTTAAGGTCACATATTATGCAACATACCCCTTATTGTGTTTTTCACACTAATATGTGTCCCTAACAATATCAGACAAGACTGTCTACTCTGTCTTTTGTCTGCTCCACTTTTCAGAAAATGTGTGTCCAAGCAGGCCGTTTGGACATTTTCCCTTCATGACATCACAAAGGGCAGTAACCCCTCCCCCAGGTGGGTGACACTCCCACAGCTAGGTGTTTGTTCTGCCCTCTTGGTCTGCCTTCTCACCGTCAACAATAGGGCATGGCACAAGCCATTTCCCCTCCAGAGCTCGCTTGCATTTAAAGCTACAGACACAGAAACCGCCTGTTTTGAGCAGGGTAGAAATAGAGGGGTTTATAGGCATGATCTGATAGTTCAGAGTGGACAAGAAACTTCACAGACATGTTTGGGGGAGCTCTGAGACGTATTTAAACTTGTTGAAAAGGAGTATAATATGTGACCTTTAATAAGTGATTATAGTGATGTTTGGGTTCAAGCCCCTCTTCAGACATGCTGACTTGTTCCGAGTAACAGCTGGATATTTTTCTGTCATCTGTTTGGCTTGTTAACATTTACACCTTCAAACAAAGGTTTGCAGAAAGCTTCTAAAAAGGTGTAACTTAAGTGTAGTTATTTAAAAATAATCTTTCTGTATAATGTTAGGGTTGTTGATGATTGGAACTATTCCCAAATGATGTGTTGCTTTTTTTTTTTTTTTTTTTGTATAACCCTTTGATCACTTCTGTCACACAATCATGGAAGCTCTAATATTTATTGAAACAACCTGTTCCCTTCAGTGTCCAGTAGCACACTCTACTGTTCATCGTATTGTTGTAATGAGGCATTTTAATCGTCAGAAAGCTGGAGAGGTCACTTCAGAGGGCGGTATTTTACTTTGGGACGTCTCCTCTTGTCATGTGTACATGTGAAAGTGTAATCATGAAGTAACAGGGCTGACATTAAAATATATTTCATAAGTAACTTCATTCTCCATCATTAATGCACTGTTTCAGTATTTTGGATTTTTGGCTTCCAGGCCAAAGCCACTGATTATATTTGAATAATCCGTGTTTAGAACAAAGCCGGACCCCGACGCTTTCAATCGAGATTAAATGAAGGCTTATGTTTTTTTTCCTCTGGTCAAATTAATTCCCTTAGTCTGTTTTACCCTCTCTGCCCTCTGAGATGTTGTAGTTGTCAAGGCCTCATAGTCATCTCTTAATGGGATTTAAGAAAGCCCTGTGAAAGGTTATGCAATGTGAATCTATGGGATTAAAAGTGCATGCAACAGACAGGTGAGAAATGTCTGCAGTATTAAAGTAGAAAAAAGACACCCCAGTCTTAAATGTAAATACGTCTTTTTTGCTCGTGAAAGATAATATGCCATACAATATGTGGACAACTTTCAGCTTCTAATGGCCTATTTGATTTATTCTACAAATATTCAATGCTTTGGTTTTAATTGTTGGTATTCCCTGTCACACACAGGCAGTATAACACCCACAGTGGAGCTGAATGGTCTGGCTATGAAGCGAGGCGAGCCAGCTATCTATAGGCCTCTGGATCCTAAGCCCATGCCCAACTACAGAGCTAATTACAACTTCAGAGGGATGTTCAACCAAAGGTGAGCTCTGCAACCCAAACCTGTCAAGCTGCCAAAAGCGTGTAACATTTCTACCCCTAAAGTTAAAGTATGTTTATAGGCAGGCACGGATTGAGGATGGCCTACGATAAGATGAAGTCATACCTATCTAAGCAGGTTCAACTTACATTGTATCGCCCACTCCTCCACACAGTCACTCTGATTATGCTTGTAAAGCCAAACCCTCACTTCAGGATTTTACGTTGAGTGCAGTGCTGCTGCAAAATCTTGCTGCTGTAAAATAGCAAATGTTGGAAGCGCTTCATTTATAATGTCTTGTACGCTGGCTTCCAATTGAATGCGTAGGAAGAAGAAAGAGAAAAGGATGATGGTCTTGATGTATCTCTGATGGCCTGACACTGCATTGTTTCTTTGATCCTTCTGGCCCTGATGTGTGTCAGACGTGGTCCTCATCTCCATATGTTTTTCCAAACTGATGAATGTGGTGCCCTCATGGGGTGCCTCTGCAACTCAGTCTCTGTCAACTCCCTTTCTTCCCTTGGTCTTTTTTTTTTGTTGTTGCTTTACTGGAGCCATCCAGCCATTTCCAAAACTCCATAAAAATGCCACAGAAGTGCAATTAATGATTCCCCCTCCCTCAGGGAAGGAATGTTACTGAAGTGCTTTGGATGTGACGCCTCACATTAAATCAAATTGCGCTTTATTTATCTCTAAGTTAAGTTAAAGACATTTACTGTCTTCAAATTGTAAACTCTTCCTTTTTTTACTGTTCGGCTGAAATGTCATCTTGATATAAATATTATTTCTACCATAGTAGTTTATAGTGTTACTAGTGCTGTGATGATCACTCTTCACACACAGACACACAGTGACTTTAGTTGTGTCTACAGTTAACACAAGCTGAGCTGTGTGGCTCCAGAGCATACAAGCTCATAAAGCCAGTTTTCATCTGTTAGTTTAGATTTCCTCGACTCATTTTCAAAAGGTAATATCACTCCCTCCAGATGGCAGTGTTTCCTAATGCAGAAAACCCTATTCTATACTAGAACACTTCTGTCTAAGGGTATTGAGCACCCATTTTGTAAACTGCACAGTTGAAATGTTGTGATTTATTAAAAGTTTTCATAAAACCGTGTGCAGTTTAATCTGCACTCTTTACATACAAAGCTTTTTAAAGCCATAAACAAAGAAGACAGACGTCTGTTTTGCTTTTCACTTAAACTTTTGGCTCATGAAAGCCCTAAAGTAAGGTACTCTGATGCCAAATGTGTGGGATTTCTTTTTAAAATGTGAACACCTTGCCAGAAGAAGTCAGTGATTCAGTCGCAGTGTTTGGTAACTGAGTCAAGTCAGCAGACAGTCTAGCATCTGGCTCACATCTTCTACTATCTGATCCATGCAGGAACAAACAGGGGGGGGGAAGACAAATGTGTGCGCGCTAGAAGAGAAAATCTGTTTTCCAGCAACTGTCTGTCAATGTCATGTGTCACAGTGATGAGTTTCAAAAGAGACGAGCTGTATCTGCACCTCATGGTCTGTTTTGTTTTCTTACACCACTTTGAGAGGAAACGCGAGGGGTGAGGGGATGTGTGTGCGTCTGAAACAGAAAAGAGCTCGGAGTATATTTTATCCCAAGGTCACTTATGTTTTCACCAGGTGTCTTTCTTTCAGTGTAGTCGAGCCCCGGATTAATGAAAGCAAGACCTTTTGAATATGAATTCTCTTCATCAGACGGCGGACTATGCGACGGAGCGACAGGCCTTATCTACTATCAGTCACTTTAATGACACTGCAGGGAAACGAAGGTTTCCATATGCCCATGTCCTTACCTTTTATGATGAATAAGAGTGATCCGGAGTCATGTTGATGGAAAATCTGCCCATTAAAAGGGCAGCCTGGCTCTGATCCATCAGCGCTCTAATCACCACCAAGACCAGTATTGATTCATTCAGAAAGTGCCCTGATGAGGAAATATGGCAATAATATGAAACGTGCATTTATCAGCGTCTTAATGAATCTTATTTATGGTGAAGGGCCTGTGCATAATTTCATACCATCAAAGTCCACTTTTAAATCAGCATCTCTGCAAATTCCGCAGTCATAACTAAGTCATTGTACAATCTTAAGTACTGAAAATGTTCTGAATGATGCAGTTTTTTTTTTGTACAGCATATTCAGTTAGTTACAGAAACAATAAGTGGAAATTCTGCCGTTATGATTCACATGTAGAGTGAATCAGGAAAATACTTTTGCTATTAAGAAATCTGGTGACATCAGAAATTTTTTTGCAGACAATCCCCGACTCCCATGTTATCAGTGGAACACCTGATTCCAATGACTCATACTGGGCTCTTCTAATCTGTCCATGGCCCTCCCAGTTTTCCTCCTGCTGCATCAATCCCAGGGGGTTATGGGTACATGCATCCGGCATTCTGTCTGTTGTAATTTTTGGATAGGACTTTCCCTGTGAGCAAAGCAGAACAGAAAGAAGCCGCCCACCTCCGCCCAGCCCTCATTTGGTTATGACCGAAACATTATGTCAGCTGGACGAATAGCGGGTTGAATGACTGGGGGTGTTTTGCTCTGTGACATTTCCTTCTTTGATGATGCTCAGATACTGATCTAACAGCTGCTTTCTCTGCAGGAAACAATGTGGGTCAGCTGTGTTGTAGAGGATTCTGTTCTGAGTAATGTTGTATTGGCCAGTGTGCAATAGGAGCATATAGTGTTTGAAAAGGGACTCTCAATATGTGTGGTGGTCACTTGTAAAGACGAGCTCCCAAATTCCACTGATACTATGGAGAATTTGTACCCTCTTCCATCTCATACTTAAGGCATTTTGTCGTATAATATTCAGTTTTGTTTCATTGTCATTTCTCTTACAACCCTGTTTCCCGCTCCAGCAGGCAGAATTTCACTGAAAGAGATTAGAACTGTGTTATAATCACCATTAGATAGTTGACGATTAAAACAGACGACTATGTAGTAAAAAAAAAAAAGTATAGGATTTGCAATGTAAGATAGATATTTTCCTTATGAATAGTGTAGGTTCTAAACCAAAGTTACATGAAGAGGAACACAAACTTCATAGCCAAGCCATTTAAACTGAAATGCACGACCTTCCGCTGTGTTCAGGTTGAACAAAAACTCTGTTGGCTCTAGGTTGGGTACCATATCGTTTTTTTATCAATTCTGATTCTGGTTCCACTTATCGGTACAATGCCGATACTACCTACCCTAGCACATGGACCCTCACGGCCCCCCTCAACCCAACCATGTAGACCGATAGACGACAAGAGCCAGGACGTTGTCAAGTGAGAACCTCCCTTCCCTGGTCTTTTGTCCAATTAGTCCCAGGACACCACCGGAAGGCTGGACAGTTAGCTCCAGCCTCACAGAGACACCCCCCCCCCCTCCATGCTGGTCATCACCGCCCACCATACTAACACGCAGAGCTTCTTTATCTTCATATGATGATCTACCACATGACCATCACAGCCCAAACAGCATTGCTACCTTCAAAAGACCCAGGCTCTAGCTACAATACCACATGGCCCCTAATGGCCCCCACAATCAGAATGCAACTATTCCTGGTGCCAAAATAGAAAGACGGAGAGAAAAATCTGATGAGAATTCTTAGAAAGTGGATGGAGGAAGCAGTGCCAGAGTGAGGTGCCCTGATCGGAGCTAGCATTGACAGGTAGCACGCTACAGGGACATGAGCATTCCCTCATTCTTATGAGGAAGAAGAGTTGAGAAGACAGAAGAATAAAGGAGATGAATGGTTTCTTCTTACCTTTATTTTGGCCCCAAACTGACATTATTAGATGGTATAGACCACCGGAGCCCTCTGTTACACACACAATTTTAAAAAACAAGGCTTGAATCTCTGAACATTCTGCAGAAGACAGAGATACCAAAAGATGTATACTAAAAACATTATGGTATGCGGATACTGACTTATGATCAAGAAACAGACAAGGGTTATAATTCCTAAAGGATCTGTTCTGAACATGCCTCATAACTGTGTGGCAGTGTCCTTGTAAAATCAACGACGAACATCATGTCGGCTGTATTAACATGCTCATGAAAGAAATATAAATCGACTGTTGCCATGGAAAGATAGTTATCCTTGAAACATGAATACCTTTCTCATGCCTGCAGGATGTCAGAATAATACTAGACACGGACAGAGATCCCACATACACACACACAGAGGCACAGACACAGGTATACTTTGTCATCTATAGCTCTAATTGGGCCAACCCATCTCACTGAAAATGCAAATCTGCCCATGAGCACTTTTCTATATTCAACATTTCCTCTCATCCTTTCCTCTTCGGCGGTATCAGATATCCCACGAGGTATGCTTCTCACACGCAGTCCCCGTGTTTCTTTTTTTCTTTTTTTTTCTTTTTTTTGCACGCTCTTTTTCTCCCACTCAAGTTAATATTTTATAAAGCTTACTGGCCGGTCGGGCTTTACAGTCTCATATAGCTTAATTGGGACACTGTGTGCTCTTTGGTCCACTCAGGCACATCACAGAAAGTTTTGTTATCTTATCCGTCCAAATCATCCCCTCGGTCCAAAAAAACAAAAAGGAAGCTGCCAAAGCCCACAAGGTAGAAACTTCAGAGAATTAGCTTTTTTTTTTATTGCATTACATGATTGAATTTTTTTTTTTTTAAATCACCACATATCTGTGTAGATCAGTAAATCAGATGCATTTACGCAGATGGTTCATAAATTGTAACAGGCGACATGCCAGAACAAAGCACAATCTGTCCAAATTGTACAAATGGGGGTCAACCCATAAAGCAGTGTTTTATTGTGCAGCCTGGGGGTGGAGGACTGGAATACAGCTCCAACATAAACAAATGCTTAGAATGATTTGTGCTCAACAGACTCGGTGATACAGAAGTCTGGTGTCTCCTTTCATCTCCTCTCCTCTGAGTGGAGCGTCGTGTTTGTGTATCCATGTGTGTCCTCCTCTCCTCCTTTTTTTTTTTTTTTTTTTTTTT